CGTACACGGCTCGCCTACTTGGCGCTGACAATTTAGCTTTGCGTGCGAGCTGGGGTCATTCGTGATTCGAAGTGCCCGAGCGGTTCGCAGGCTATGATGCACTCCGACGTCGTCTTCCCGCACGTTATCGAGACGGGCACTACTGTACCTGTAGGCGACGCCGGAACTGCGTAGATCGCATGGTGCTTTCACGTTGCGGGCGGTAGTCGCAGAGTAGTGAAGCCGAAGCCTGGCTTGTGCCCACCACCAGTTAGTTGCTCATCGACTTGGTTTGGTTTGGTTTTGTATTTTGCGTCCAGCGACTTTTAGGTCGCTCAGGTCCCCGAGACGGGGCACAGGACGTGCTGAGCTGCTAGGAGTCTACAATCTGCTTATCGACACGGATGAAAAGCGTCTGTACAGGGTAGGAGAGCTCCCGCTCGGGCCTCATGCACGCCATCAGTAGTAACTCTGTGATTCGAACTGAGTGGGATGAAGCTTGCAGAGAGTTTGGGGAACTGGGCAGCGAACACGAAGAACGGGAGCGATTTCTGGATCCCTCTGTCTGTCACACAGCCTTGTATCCTGAGTGGTGTGAAGCATGCAGGACAAGTGATGTGAAGTAAAGTGGCTTGCAAGACGTGTGGTGTGAAGCCAAATCGGCTCCCAGGACGTGTGGTGTGAAGCTCGCAGGATGAATGGTGTGAAGCGTGCAGGCTTGCAGGACGTGCGGTGTGAAGCAAAGTCGGCTTGCAGGATGTGTGGTGTGAAGCATGCAGGCTTGCAGGCCGCGTGGTGTGAAGCAAAGTCGGCTTGCAGGAAGCGTGGTGTGAAGCTCGCAGGACAAGTGGTGTGAAGCATGAAGGCTTGCAGTACGAGTGGTGTGAAGCTCGCAGGACAAGTGGTGTGAAGCATGAAGGCTTGCAGGACGAGTGGTGTGAAGCAAAATCGGCTTCCACGTCGAGTGGTGTGANTGTGAAGCATGAAGGCTTGCAGGACGAGTGGTGTGAAGCAAAATCGGCTTCCACGTCGAGTGGTGTGAGGCTTGCAGGATGAGTGGTGTGAAGCATGGAGGCTTGCAGTACGAGTGGTGTGAAGCAAAATCGGCTTCCAGGACATGTGGTGTGAAGCAAAATCGGCTTACAGGACGTGTGGTGTGAAGCCTGCAGGCTCGCAGGATGTGTGGTGTGAAGCTCGCAGGACGAGTGGTGTGAAGCTTGTGGGCTTGCAGGATGTGTGGTGTGAAGCTTGCAGGACGAGTGGTGTGAATCTCACAGGACGGATGGTGTAAAGCATGCAGGCTTTCAGGACGAGTGGTGTGAAGCAAAATCGGCTTGCAGGATGTGTGGTGTGAGGCTTGCTGGACGAGTGGTGTGAAGCATGCAGGCTTGCAGAACAAGTGGTGTGAAACTCGCAGGACGAGTGGTGTGAAGCAAAAACGGCCTCCAGGACACGTGGTGTGAAACATGCAGGCTCGCAGATGTGTGGTGTGAAGCTCGCAGTACGTGTGGTGTGAGGCGAAATCGGCTCCCAGGACGAATGGCGTGAAGTTGGCAGCACGCATGGTGTGAAGCATGCAGGCGTGCAGGACGATTGGTGTGAAGCATGTTGACTTGTAGTACGAGTGGTGTGAAGCAAAATCGGCTTACAGAACATGTGGTGTGAAGCCTGCAGGCTTGCAGGATGTGTGGTGTAAAGCTTGCAGGACATGTGGTGTGAAGCATGAAGCCTTGCAGGCCGGCTTGCAGGACATGTGGTGTGAAGAATGCAGGCTTGCAGGACGTGTGGTGTGAAGCTCGCAGGATGTGTGGTGTGAAGCTCGCAGGACATGTGTTGTGAAGCATGTAAACCTGCAGGACGAGTGGTGTGCAGCCAAATCGGCTTCCAGAATGTGTGGTGTGAATCTCGCAGGATGAGCGGTGTGAAGCATGTACGCTTGCAGGACGAGTGGTGTGAAACAAAATCGGCTTCCAGGTCGAGTGGTGTGAGGCTCACTGGACGTGTGGTGTGAAGCACGGGATGCGAATGGGGGCAGAGGAATGCGAAGGAGGCAATGAAGGATTGCAGCCGCTTCTGGATCGCCGTGAACGCCGACTTGTTGCACATTGCCCAGGACCAGGGGTAAGGCTAAGGTGAGGACAGGGGTGCAGACGAGGATCCGTGTCCCCTGCTCCTCAGCCCACCACCCGCTTCTTCGCTTCACACCATCAACTTTCACCCCGTGACTCTCCACACCATCCCACCGGACATCCATGTTGACGCTTGCCTGCAACGCTGACAACCTCGTCTGAGCGCCGAGAAATGGCTCTTCTGAGTGGGCGGGAGAGTTAATCCGCAACTTGGCCGTCCATCCTCCATCGTAGAAGCCGCTGCAGTTTGTCGAGGAGCCGAAACTTGCGTCACATGAGGACTAGGTAGAAACGGCCACGGAAGGGTCTAGGACCGACGCCCCAGACCCTCTCTGTCCAGTCTGTCCTCTCACCTTCTCCCGTCGCCCACCTGCGCTGTACTTCACTCTCAGTCTGCGTACTGTAGAAGCAACGTTGAACAGTAAGTAATTGGCCAGCTATGACAGCATCTACCACCAACATTCGCTGTTCGTATTGTCCTTAATCGAGGCACTGTGGTCTAAAGTTCTAATCTATAACTCACCACGTCATTCAATGTATGGCATTTATCCGAGGCCTTACTGACGACGCATACCCACCTAGGGAAAGCAGGTCTTGACTGTAGCAGTCGGTCACGATTAATCTACCGAGCGACGATGACGTCCGAAGAGCACCGAGAGAAGCCTTCCCGCAACCTTGCCACCAACTCGCGTAGCAACTCCATTTCTACCCGACCGGTTATGAGCTACGGCACGTCGTTGACCACAGAAAGGAGACTACGCTGGCTCATTGGACTCTAAAGAGGGCCGCAAACGTGCTAGCTGCACTCTCGGGCACCAGTTTTGCCCGGTGTGGTTCTACTACCCTAGTGGACAAGATTCGTTGCTGCAGCCCGCACCCATCTCTGGGTAGCGGCGCGTGTGGCAAAGTTCCAGATCAAAGTTCAAAGTTCAGACCTTATCACGTGACTAATGAGCTCGGACACTATGATGCTCGTGGGACAAGTTCATGTATTTCCGCATGTTGAAGCGTAGGAGGATATTGGACGGGGAGAGAGAAAGAGGCGCAGTCGAGGACAAGCAACGGCACGACGCCGCGATGCGCACTTGGCCGACACTCTAGAGACGCATATTTCGCTTGTGTACTTGGCGATGTCAATGCCATCCCGCAGGTAGGGAAAACTAGGTGACAGCGAAGGCGGAACGGAGGCATCCCCGCAAACGGAAGCTAAATTGCTCTACATATCTCTTTCATCCTGCCGCATTGGGACATCAATGCTGCGCAGCTACGGAAGGCGAAGGAAACACTTCCATTTCCCAAGAGATCTTTGCACAGGTTTGAGTTCTTGTTTCAACAGCCGTGCGGCCCGGCGGCCCGGTTGTCGACCAACAGCATTCAAAATTGGCCAATGAAAACTTGTCTTGTGCCGCCCGCCCCGCTCGTCAGGCATACAATCTCACGGCCCAAGTGCTCTACTTTCCACTCACTTCCCTGCAGCCCTGAGGTGGGGCCTCTACTCTCCATAAAATTGGCCTAAAACTTCATGGACGTAACCGTGGCTTCCATTGAAAGCGTGATGCATCTGGGCCAGCTAGCCGCCTGCGACCCATGCTAACCTGGCGGGACTACCTAATATCTCCCAGCCCACCTCAGTCCCAAAGTCACTTAAACCCTTCCGGCCCCGCTGCCACGAGCGTTGTCATCATCACATGACGATTCAGCCTTCCGCCTTTTCGTTCTCTTATGGCTACTTCAACATGATTTTATGCGCCTATAGCAGTTACCGGGCGACAGTAAGAGCGCTGATATTTCTCGTGGTTCTACTATTGTTTCTCTCGCAGTCATACAATCGATTCAGCGACGGTTTCACCGGTGTTCAGCCGCCTTCGGATCCCCGAATCTGGTCTCCGCACATACGTTCCGACTTGCCTGCCGATTATTTACTCACCAGCTCCTCAGAGACACTCTGGTGCCAGGCTAGATTTGGCACGCGGTACCTCGAAAATGCCCGGAACTTTTCGGTCTCTTTTTGCAGTCAAGAATCGGCCTCGCTCCTCACCTGCTTCCTATCCAGCACTGCCGCTAGCGAGCCTGTGCGCGTTGATGCCATGTGCTACGGACACCGTGCTACCTTCGACGAATCGCTACACCAATTCCGTTTGGGATGCGATATTAGGCCGCTCACACCAGATGAGGCGGCAAGGGGAGTGCCCGTTGTTCCCGACAATCTACCACGGTATTGGTACGAAACTGGCCCTGGAGCCATCATGAACGAGGCGGTTATCCTGGGCAAGGCAGCGTCTTCGGAGCGGTCAAAAATAACGACAATCCTCTTAAAGCGAGAGGGCATGGGCAACCTATGGCACTCACTTATGGAGATTATGAGTCTTACTTGGAGCCTCGACGTGCTTCAAATGAGCATTGACGCCCAAACTGGGGAACCGTTCATTACGCCAAAATATGGGGCTACGACACAGATTGTTCTAGCAGATCAACACGAAGATGGCCCATTTATTGAATTGTGGAAGCTCTTCGCAAAAATGCCGATCCGCCGCATACACGAGCTCAACGCCTCGGAGCCTGTGTCAGACATCATCATCCCCTTTGCCGGAGGCAGCAACACCCTGTGGCAAGGGGACTGGGAAGACTTGCTGTGCCGTGAATCATCCCTGATAAAGACATTCGTTTCCCGCGCCCTTGCCCTCTACAACGTGGCCACATCTGCCAAAGACGACGACAGCGTTGTCGTAACATATATTCGTCGCACAAACACCCGAAAGCTTTTGGATGAGGACATGCACATGGAAGCCATCAGAAAGGCAATCCCCCATATCAAGCTTAGTGTGGTTGACTTCGCTACCATTCCGTTTGCCGAACAGCTCAAGATCGTTCGAGGGACAGACTTGCTAGTAGGAGTCCACGGTGCAGGCCTCACCCACCTAATGTTCCTCCAACCCGGATCAGCTGTTCTCGAATTACTGCCTGAGGGCTTGCAGCACAAGGGATTTCGCAACCTTTCGCAGATGCTGGGCATTGTCTACTTCCGTACTCACATCAAAATGCACGGAGATGCCTCGGGTGATGACCAGTGGCAATTTGATGCTGTTGAAGTTGACCAACATCAGCTATTAGATCTGATCAACTACGGGGTAAAAAGCCTGTATAACACCGGCAAGAAAAGCTATGACATACTCTGAAGCAACTTGTAAGCAGGAGTACAGAAGACGGGGATTTTCATATGACGTTCGGCGTTTTGGCAGGAACTATTAAAGTGCTTTCTTGTAATGAGCGGTAGTAATTACACGGCGATGAAGCAACAGCGGGACAGACCAGGCCCATAGTCCGACAAGCTGACGAGCCAATTGTGCAAGACACTACGTCGGTTGGTCCGTCGTTGAGCTTATCAAGTGTACCAATTCAGTTCAAGTTTGAGTAAGTACCCTGGCAGTTCATAACAAATAATCAAGTTACACCCCTGAATTGATTACAGCACTGGCTCGGCGGTCAAAGCACGGCAGCGGATGACATGAACATCTGTGAACTGCAATTCGGCAGCAGCAGCAATCTCCAGAACGGTTCGCAAATGACGGTTGACAGTACCGCTGTTGCCGCAGCGGAGAGCAAAGAAAAGGCGTCGGCTGTCTTCGCGCCCACCAGAGGTGAGATAGTAGTCGATGACTAGAACTAAATACGTCAGAAGGAGTGGAGCACATCAAGCTCCTACACGCCGCCGCCCTTCAAGCTACGAGGGAATACCTTCAACAGAGGTTCAGTGGTCGTAGGCTTCCACGGGTAGATGGCCTGCAGCATCTCGTGTAAGGCGGAGTTTCTAGTCGTCGCCGCCCGACGTATAAGCACCGGCCCGCGGCGTCTGGACAGGCAGATGAACGACAGATGGCTCTCATGATGCGGAAAATTTGAGATCTGGGGGTAGTCGAGCCTGGCAGTAGGAACACACCGGCTCTGAGGCCGTTTGGGCGTCAAGGCCGCGAGCGAGCATTGAGGCTCTTCGGAATTTTGACGGCTGTTGCGTAGCCTCCGATCACATCCCCTCGATTTGTAGTCAATAAAGAAGTCGAGCAGACTAACCCGGTCAATACCCGCTTTCGTGGCGCAATTGCTCGTCTGGCAGTGTACCAAGATCACGTTGATGAGCAGCGACTTCACAGTCGCCCTCTCTAATCGTGACATCTGTTTTTTTTGTTTGATATAAATTTTATGCTTATTTGTTTGATTTGTTTGACAGTTTGTTTGAAGCGGTTTGATTGCGGCGCTGCTCAACGGGAAGCTTTCTGACTCTGACGGGAAGCCTTGGTGTGATTGCGGAATTCGCGACGGCGGAGGATGCAAACCGAATTACCGACGAAGGACCATCGGTGAAGTGATGAGTTGGCTGACAGCCGACGCGATGCCTATTACTAGGAAATACTACACTTTATCCTGACTGGTTGTACGAGTCAACTCGAACGATCTGTCTCCTTGCCGTGGATCTGAACTTTGACTCCCGTGGTCGCTGCTCAGAGACGAGACGAGTGCCGCTATTCAATTGGTGCAGCGCGGCTAGCAAGTTCGGCTCTTCGTCCCAGTCAATGGGACCAGCGTACTCTTCTTTATAGGGAGCGGCGAGCCGCAGCATACACCTGGTCGGCGTGGAGGTGTAGTTGCCTCACGAGTCGAAGGCAAGGTTGCGGCAAGCTCTCCCTGGGTAGCCTTTGTAAGTCATCGTCGCTCGGTGGCTCAATCGTGAGCGGCTGTCCGCAATCTTGGTGGCAAGTCGTGACGGTTATCTGGAGTCTGCGGATGGTGCTTTCCCTGGCTAAGTATGAACCGTCAGTGAGGCCTCGGCTGAATGCCATACGGTGAAAGCCATTGCTAATGGCAAGCTAGCACTTTGGTCGACAACTTGGTCGGCATTCTGCGCGCAATACTGCGCCGCGGTTCAAGAATCGATGAGGGGCACAACTCGGACGGCGCTTTGTTCAGAATGATACGAATAGCGAATGTTCGTGGTAGATGCTGTCTTGACTGGCCAACTACTCACCGCCGCGGGCGTCACCGACTGGCAGCATAACTTGGGGTACTTTCTGTTCAACGTTGCTTCTTCGCAGACTGAGAGTGAAGTACGATGCAGGTGGGTGAAGGGAGAAGGTGAGAGAGCAGACTGGACAGAGAGGGTCTGGGGCGTCGGTCCTAGACCCTTCCGCGGCCGTTTCTACCTAATTCTTATGTGACGCAAGTTTCGGCTCCTCGATACACTGCAGCGGCTTCTACGATGGAGGATGGACGGCCAAGTTGCGGATTGACTCTCCCGCCCACTCAGAAGAGCCATTGTCGGCGCTCAGACGAGGGTGTCAGCGTTGCAGGCAAGCGTCAACATGGATGTCCGGTGCGATGGTGTGGAGAATTGCGGGGTGAAGGTTGATGGTGTGAAGCAAAGAAGCTGCTGGAGGGCTGAATGACAGGGGACACGGATCCTTGTCTGCACCCATGTGCCCACCCTGATTTTACCCCTGGTCCTGGGCAGTGTGCAACAAGTCGGCGTTCACGGCGATCCAGAAGCGGCTGCAATCCTTCTTTGCCTCCTTCGCATTCCTCTGCCCACATTCGCATCCCGTGCTTCACACCACACGTCCTGTGAGCTTCACTCCACACGTCCTGGAAGCCAACATGCTTCACACCAATCGTCCTGCAAGCCTGCATGCTTCACACCACACGTCCTGCAAGCCTACATGCCTCACACCATTCATCCTGCAAGCCTCACACCACTCGACGTGGAAGCCGATTTTGTTTCACACCACTCGTCCTGCAAGCTTCACACCACACATCCTGCAAGCCTGCAGGCTTCACACCACACGTTCTGTAGGCCGATTTGGTTGCACACCACTCGTTCTGCGAGCTGCACACCACACATCCTGCAAGCCTACATGCCTCACACCATTCATCCTGCAAGCCTCACACCACACGTTCTGTAGGCCGATTTTGCTTCACACCACTCATCCTGCAAGCCTTCATGCTTCACAACACATGTCCTGCGAGCTTCACACCACTCATCCTGCGGTCCTGCGAGCCTCACACCACACGTCCTGCAATCCGACTTTGCTCCACACCACTTGTCCTGGAAGCCGATTTCGCTTCAAACCACAAGTCCGGCAAGCCTGCATGCCTCACACCACACGTTCTGCGAGCTTCACACCATATGCCCTGCAAGGTCAGCATAGAGAGCCAGAGTCAGTTCTGGATATTTTGTCACATGGTAAGGTGTCCCCGCCACGGTGCATTACGCGACCATCTGCCAACACCCTCTTACCGTCCCCTGCCGAAACCACTTCCTTGATGACGGCGCCCTCCTTTGAAGCCTTGGCAACACCCAATTTTGGCTACACCTTGACAACACCCTCTTCTCATTCCCTGTCAACACAACCTTCGAGCAACACTCGCGTCCAGGCTGCAGACGACACCGCCTTCTCCTGGTGACACCACCTTCTCCTGGTGACTCCACCTTGTGATGGCACCGTCTTTTCGTCCCTTGGCGACACCATCTTTCACAACACCCTCTTCTGGTCCCTGGAGACACTACCCTTTCCCTTTCCCTGGCGACACCCGCCTCTGGCGACACCTTCTTATCGCCGCCTCCCGACACCCTTTTGTGATAACACCAATTCGATGTCCCCTGTTGACACCTACTCCTGGCGACACCCTCTTTTTTCCCCTGGCGACACCACCTCTCGACAACACCACTTTCTCGGACCCTGGCAACACCCTCTTCCCACGACACCCTCTTCGCACGACACCACCTTTCGACAACACCACTTTCTCAGACCCTGGCAACACCCTCTTCCCACGACACCCTCTTCCCACGACACCCTCTTCCCATGACACCCTCTTCGGGCAAGAAGCACACCACTTTGCTGAGCATCCACGCGCTGCTTGCACAGCCAAATCCAGCATCGCGACGGATTTGACACCAGGCCCCGGAGAGTGTGGTGGCCTTCTACTTCGATGGCGCCCCGCGGCAGAGCCGTAGCCACTGTTGAGACCCGCCTCACCTTGCGTGGCACAAAGCCAGAATCTGACGAAGTGATGCAGTTGGCCTGAGCTACTATGTTGTTGCCGGATTTAGCCCCTTGGCATTGACTTTGCCCTCGGTCGTTGGGCAGCCGAGTTTTCACGTAAGCTGGTAGACGTCACTGGTGAGATTTCGCCGGCATCGCGCTTTGACTCAATGCGAGCCTTTCTAGAACCAAGATATCGAGGCCGACAAATAATTGCAGATACAGTACTGTACAGTATTCAAACCATGCCTACGGTGACAAGTTTTGGATTCGCAAAGGCATTCTTGTCCGGTTTGAAAAGGCCTTGCTGACAGGCGTTTGCAGCAGTCCTGTGACGGCGCTCGGGAACTTCGAACTTTGAACTAGAACTTTGATCTAGAACTTTGAACTTTGAACCGGAACTTTGACGTGAGTGATTGTACCCACAAATGCGTGGGGTCCGCAATGACAAGCGTTGTCCACCATTGCGACCGAACTTCAATAGGTACTGGTAGAACCAGCCTGGCTACGCCACTTTCTGACTATTGTACCTCGTACCATCTTTGAGACGGTAGACTTCTGTAAGGCAGTATAGTACAGATAGGTCATAAACGGCCAGTTCCAAATCCAGCACCAAAACCTGTGAATAATATTCGTACCCCTTCGGCGCTAGGCATCTTGGTCTCTCCTCGTTACTTGCGGCCTGTCAATGAGACCAGTAAGGGAGGTACTCAGTCCATTGAATGCAGGATGAGTTGCAATATTCACGCTCTGCGTAGCGGTCTCGAGTGCGCCGCCAACGTCGACAAGTCCCTAATGAAGAAGAGCTGGTGGTCACGCATTTTCCGATCACTGAAATGGCTTGACATGGTGCTGGCAGCCGGTCTCATTCCATTTCTGGTTGGTCGCAATCTGGTATACAAGAAGAGCAGTTTGGCTGTATTGGCCCTCCCGCAAAAAACAGACGACGCCAAAGACGTTGACAGAAATACTCGGCGCACACTATTGTGAAGTTTTCAAGGAATACCTAAGAGACGACTGTACTGAAAAGGCACTGGGGGTGTTTTATGTAAAAAACGAACACATTCTTTTATACACCAGTATTATTAGCAGCGAACTTAAGGAGAAGGAGGGAGATGAGCTTGTGCCTAGATTTCTTCACGACTGGAGCCGACTATGCGTACTTTCATCCGTCAACTCACAAGCCCAATTCGGAGACGTGTCTGCGGCAGCTGAGGAAGCACGCGATGGGGAACTGAGTAGTTTAGCAAACTCGAACGCAGTACACCACAGCCTTCACGACGGCATCTACCGAAGCTACCTACAGTGTCTTTCTTAACCAGACAGCGTATCTGAAAAGTCAGAGAGTATAGCCGACACGGTGGAAAAGAAAATCACTTTACCCACTGCTGCGACCCGTAGATAAGCTCAAATAAACTCGACAGAATCAACCAGCGTCGCTTGTGGAACGATCGTAGGTGCTTCCCAAGCGTCTTCCTGCCGGCGTGGCTGCAAGCCTAGAGGGCGGCGATGGTCGTGGCTGAGGACACCGGACCCGGAAAGGGTCGACACTAATTGGGGCGCCGCCGCATTCTGTTTCTTCTTGCGGCCAGTCTGACGATAGGTGCAAGGCTGGTTCAAGAGCCTGCAGCGGGCGCCTTGACCCCAACCTGGCTCTGATGTACAGCGAACGCGCAACTGAAGGCAACTCTCACAAGGTTTTGTAAGCTCGTTCCCATGCATCATAGCCATAAAATGTAGACACAGATGCAGTTGGCAGTTGCCATGCAATCGAGGAAGAGTAATAGGTAAAGCCCAGCCCTTAGCCTCCCCATAGCATGCTTTCCGCCTGTCCCCGTGTGTCGTGGCAAGGCCTTAATCATGGCCAAGATTGCTACGAAAAGCTTAAGGGACAGGCCTGTACCAAGGTCCCTTGAGACATATACGCGTACACTGGGCCGGCGTGCGATTCCGAGGAATTTTGCAGTTCCCCCATGGGGATACGTATCATCCTCGTGCGGGTATTTCGAACTTGAAGAGCGGAAAAGCGTAGTCAACAAGGACGGCAAGAATGGGTATGCATCCAGAACACACGCCTTCCGTCCAATACAGAACGCAAGAGACCATACTCGTGAGATAAGGTATACATTTAAATTCGGCAGGAAGCTGCGCACCAAAGAGCGGAGTGCGGGCGCGAGAGCTCGTTCCCGTCTATGTTGGAAGTGAAATAGACATGAAAAGCCTCCAAGCATGAATCCCTGCCGCACCTTACAGAGCAAACACCTGGAATGCGACCATGGTGACCAGTCCGCTCAGGCTGATGGCCAGTGTGGAGGCGCCGGCTTGAACGGGGTTGCTGGCCACGGCCGAGGGGCCGCCGGGGGTGGTGAGGGCAACTGCGGCGGTGGCCCAGCTCAGTGTGGGCAACGCCACGCCAGATGAGACGTCGGGGCAGCCGGGGCCGGAGCAGCTCGGCTTGGGCGTCACGCCGGTGGGCTGATTGGCGGAAATGGTGACCGTCTCGATGATGGTGGACGTGGTGGAGGTGCTTTCCACCGAGGGCGGGTTGACGCCACCGGGCACGCTGGGAGTGGGCTGCGGCACCTTGCCTGTCTCCATCTCCGTGACGGGGCAGACAGTCGTGTACCACGGGATGGTCTCGGTGGTGACACGGCCGACGGGGCAGTTGGTGACCTGAGGCGGGCAGGCCGTGACGGTGTGGACCTTGGTGGTGTAGACGGTGCTCGTGGTCCACGCCGCCGAGGTCATGGTCTGAGACGGCTTGGGAAGCTTGGGCGTCTCCGTGATGGGGCAGACGGTGGTGTAGAGCGGGATCGTCTCAGTCGTGACATAGCCGCCAGTGGGGCAGTTGGTCACGTAGGGAAGGCACTTGGTCACGGTGTGCACCGACGTGGTGTAGACCGTGCTCATCGTCTTGGAGACAGTGCCCGAGGTGATGGTCGAATTGGACCACTTGGTCGTGCTGGACACGATGCTGGTCACCGGCGTGGAGGTCGGGACGGAAGGAGAAGTGGTAACGTCCGCGGTGATGACGGGGGTGGCCTTGGCGGTGCTGGAGGTGGCCTTGGTAGAGCTGCTAGAGCTGGACTCGGTGGCGCTGCTAACAATGGTGGAGCTGGCCAGAGAAGTGCTGATGGCGGTCGAGCTAACCTTGGAGGTGCTGCTGGTGGTCGAGCTAGGCGTAGTGGAGCTGCTGGCTGTCGTCGAGCTACCCTTGGTAGTCGAGCTAGACGAAGTCTTGGTAGACGAGACGGTCGTGCTGGTGGTCGTGGGAACAGGTCCGCAGCCGTACTTGAGAGCTTCGGCAACGTGCTGGCTGTAGTCCTTGCCCCCGATGATATTGGCGGCGGCAGTGTCCAGATCCCAAATTGAGATACCACCCCAGTGCGGCGTTCTGGTGCTGTACTTGCACACCAGGTCCTTAACTTGGTCAGGCGTTATGTAACCAGAAGTAGCGGAGTCCGACGTCGGGCCGCCAGGAAGGCCGACATAGAGCTTCGCAGTTTGGCTCTTTCTGCTCTTCGCCATAAAGGTGACCCATTCGTCAAGGTTGAACTTATCGCCTTTCCCATCGGTGACGTAGTCACAGACGGGGTTGTTGTAGAACTGAATAAAGAGCGCGTCCAAAGATGTCTCCTTGAGGATATCCATCATATCGTTAGGGGTCGTGGACAAGGGGCATTGCGGGGCAGCGGTGATAATGAGAGACTTGTCCAGGGTTCGAAGCTTGTTAATCATAGCGATGTAGGGCTTGTTATCTATACGTATACAGTTTAGCATCCGGCATGACCATGAGTGATCTAGTTTACCCTACCGAGGTCGATTTCAAGATCAAAGTCGAAGCCGTCAACTGCCACGTGCTGATTGTCGGAGTCGAAGGGCCGGGCGACATTGGCCGCCGGGTTGTAGGGACCAAAGATCTGGTACACTTTCTCGGCAAACTGTTCGCCCTTGGTTGTTGACGAGACCCTGTAATCGTTCTTGAAACTGTACATGCCACCGATACTGAGAATGACCTTGACACCTTTGGACTGGCAATATGGGATATCGGTCTTCAGGCTCTGGTAATGGCTGTAAAGAGGCGAAGCGACGTGGTTCGCGTCCGTAAAGGCCTCTGCCCAGCAGTGTGAGGAAAAGTTGATACCGGGATATTCGAGTGTGGACGGGTCATGCTCAGGGGCCGAGTTGATGAAGCCGAGGGTAATAGAGCTGATTCCACCATCACAGTAGGCTCGCAGTGCGTGGTTCGACTTTTGACCCTACGACTGCGTTAACGTGGACCCTCAGTATATCCTCAATCAACAGGATGGCTTACCCAGTAACCATTGAGCGCACCCAATGCGCCAATACTCGCCCCAGCTAGGCCACGTACAGAGAGAGTCATGATGGCGAATGGCTCGCCAAGATGGTAAAACAAAGTTTGGAAGCTGGCGCAGCCGAAAGGAGTGTAGTCACGACAATGAGGTAAAGGAATGGACGCAACACAAAAGTTGCAGGCTGTAGCCGAGATGTTTGGCCGTGGCTGGACAGAGAGGCGTACTTCATGTAGAAAAGGGCAGCATGCGCTACAGCGCGTCCGACCTTAGGAGCTCGAATCACTTCCGCATGTCGGGTCGCGATGGGGCTTCGTGGAGTATGCATGTGTTGTCTGCCCAACCGGGAAAGTGGGCCATAGTCATGGTCTAATAACGCCCCCATCGTGGCCTTGTTTGATGCAGTACAAGCGGAACGAATCGAACAAAAAGCCCATGCTTGAGTAACCAACTAAACGAGTATAAGCAGGAGACGTCGGTAGTAACGCCCCGCGGTTCAGTTGGAAGCGCGCTTGGCGGCCGGCGCCGCATATGCGGCCACAGAAGCGGTCACAATATGACCCACCTGGAATCCCACTATCGAGCGGTGCATTAGGAGTGTAACAGCGCAATCTCGGCGCTTCCTCTATGTTATATAGACTGTACGTAGTCGGGCAGCGGCCGAGTGCTGGAACAGTGTCTGCACATGCTGCCGGGGTGTGGGCTTGTTGGCACTTCAGGTGCCTTGAAATCCACACCGGATGCTACGCTTGAGCCCCGTTCCTTGACTCACGGTGCATCCGCAGCACGCAGTCTGGGCTTCGGTAGTGTCAGCCCAATCAACTCTGGCAACCCTACAGTCGCAACTTCATCATGCTCGGCCCACATTTTCCGCCGATTGGAAGACGGAGTTCGCGTGGAGAGCTAACGTCCAAAAGGCACACGGCGTTATTCAGTTTGTTACCTCAAGCCGCATCAGAAGTGTCTCCGACCCCAATGCCCATTACACCTTCCGCAATCCACCTGATGCTCCCACGGCAAGTAGCTGCTGTGGTAACTGTTTGCCACCAGAGACGAGGCGCCTTGCTGCGGGTGGTTCATGCCAGTGGCCCAAAGGGGGCCACTGATCTGATGGGCATCAGAGCTCCAGGCCAATGCCCAATGCTTGGTCAACTCCCCGGGGCGGTCCACCAGGTCCTCGTCATGAAATAACAGCTCTTACGGCAGATCGTGGTCGCTGCGAGAATCGAGCCTCGACAGGAGCTCATACAAAGACGCGTTCGTAAAAGCGGCGCAATAGCGGTGTAATCACGCAACCAGATTCTCAACTTGCCGGAAAGTCCTCCAGACGTGAAGGGTTGCTTGGGGACCCACCTCGCCAAAAACCATTGTCGACACAAGACATGTTCCCTCACACACCTTATGTATACAGCAGATCCCATCTCCACAATCTTCGATCGTCTTCCCGTCGGCTCTCTCCTCCTCGATCGAAAGGGATTTATTTCCGTTCGGCCTCCATCGGAGTGATTGTCTTGACAGTTTGACTGCTGGCCAGAGACTAGTGCACCATTTCCAGCTGCAAAAGCACTGCTTGGGTGGAGGGTCGCTGGCGTGGTGGATGACTCCGTGGGTGCCTCGCGTTCTAGAAGGGGAGAAAGAAGTAGAAAGACTCTGAGGTTGAGTAGAAAAAGGAGCTTTGGGCCTTTATGCATCATGCGAGGCGACTCGACCACTTTGGATGTCTGTCCAATCTTCTGGACGTATCGGTGTGGCTGACAACGCCAACACATTCCGCATCATCGCTCTGCTTTGATTTACTCCCTCGTGTAAAGAGACGGCAGTTGGGAGAAGCGCTCGCGCCCGGGCAGGTGACGACATTCGTTGAAGAGCCCTGTCGCATGGCACTGATATATAGACAGTTCCTGAGCAGTAGATCCCACCTGTCTATCGGACAACGAAATACCGTTGGTTTTGACTGTAGCAATCGATGTAAAATTGGTATCTATACCGAGCTAATTAAGACTGGCTCTTGAGACAGAGGGGCAGAAGCTAGGTTGCGTGCATGTACTTTCACCACACAGGGGGCAGTGCTCTGGTCTACGTGAATGAGGGGCTTCGTATTGCCAAACCCAGCCTTGCATAGTCGAGATCCCAGAGCGGTGCAGATTCGGTAAACCGTGGTGCCGGCTTCCGTCCAATATTTTATGGCTGGAATTATACTCTGCTATTACCACGCAAAAGCGCTGGTCAGGGACCCTGTTCTCTCAGCGAGTTTCCAACCTCGACCGAATGGCGCTCATTCGTGACAACCTTGCCCAATGAGGCAATCTATATGGAACGATGAACCTTCGATATACTTGGTACTCGTAGTCTCCCCGATTGTGATGTTCACATCATACACCCAGACGTCTAGCTGCCTCAAGCCCCCATACATCGAGAAGATTCCCGCCCTAAGGGTACCCGGACCGGGAGCAATTAGCGGGTTGATGGTGATACTTTTATTGAATGGCCCATTGGGAATGTCTAGTAGGTACAATCATTAGTATGTACTGGAATGGAGATTCTGACCAACCCACCCGTGAGCGCGATATATGCTTGGTCTTTGCCAATGTTGTTTCGCTGAAGTTGCGAGCCAGGGTCGAATCCGATAACCATAGCTATGTCGTACTGGCCCGGTGAATTATTATTCACAATTGTCATGTCCACTGCGTCGCCAGGCTTGATAACTTCGGGCACTGCGATTGACTGGACCGACGCATGAGCTGACACGAAAAGAAGCGGCAAAGCTGCCGCAGAGGTCCACATGATGTACGGACTGTAATAGTGAGCTTGAAAGAAGAGTCAAGTCAAATTGTTGAAAACAAGAGAAGTGTTGACGCGCAGGAAAAGGGTTGCCGTCTAAGGGCTTTTATAGCCTTTCCCTACATCAAGTCGTTATCAGCCTTCGTCATCATGCATTAGTGAGCCCAGGGCTTTTGCAATGGCTCCTTAGTTTCATTCGCTTGTGACGAACTTTGGAAGGCTCCGCTAGATGGACTTGGCAGGAGCGTAGCATTTTCGCGGCTGATACTGTACTGCGCCTAACTCCAACAGTATATTGCGTGTAGGAAAGATCTATAGACGAGTCATGCAATGAGAGATTCGGCGTGAGAGAATGCCAGGCTTCCTGCAAGTCGGGGCCGACTAATATCGTATTAACTTCGGCCTCGTGGACCTCAGTCCTGTCTAGAGTCTTGGCACAACAGCAGTCTGAGCATGGATGCCAATCATTGCAACAGGGAGATCTACTTGTGAGAGAATGAAAGGCTACGAGGCTATGAAAATACCGCAAGTTCCAATCGTGCCGCAAGGTCTTTCAGTCGCTTCTGTCCCGCGCACAGTAACATTGTAGGTGGCACCTGACGATCACCTGCAGGTCCTATCAAGGATTAGACCACCAGACGGCTTATTGCGGTTCAAGAGCTCGTTTTTTACTTTGTGTAGAACATGACGGCCTCGGTCGAGAGCAGGAACAGGATTGCAGCAAACATGTGATCCTCCACAGCGAAATGTTGCATGTTGGAACACGGCTGCCTGTCAAATACACAAACCAGTGACATGGCTTGGAGCGACTCAAATACGTGGAGGAAACGAAGTTCTGACTACCACCGAGGTAAATAGCCAGTGGACCAACGAGCGTGTCTTCGGCGACTTGAGCGCCGCATCCTCGCTGCCCTAGTGCCATTGACATCGAAGTTCCGTGGTTTCCGGTGATATATCATTGACATAAAGCCTCTAAATAAATGTATTCCACTCGCGTAGCTGAAAAGCACCGAGCTGCCCATCATTTCGCAATTGATTTGCTGTGGCACTCTCAAGTGCAGGTTTGCATGCTCGCGATATGAACAATGTATGCCAGAAAGTTACACAAAGTAAAGAAAGAAGCGTCGGCAGGTCTAGCAATTCAAACGCAGATGTGAAAGTATGTCAAGTCGTCTCGCCATCGTGCCGTGATTCTCGAGGAGCCGGTAAATTCGCCGATTGGTTTCTTTCGCCTGCACCCCCGAGTATGACGGGCTTTCATAAGCCCTGTCGTCGCCTCGGCAGTTCAGTTTAGTGAGCACAATTCCAAGCAAGTATCTCGAAATATGACGCAACAAGGCTCCTTGCCCGAGTACGCTTCAGAATACAAATTGTCGAAGTGCACAAGGTCAATTTCGGCAGCTTCTCAGTGTCCATGAGCGATTTCGCCTGCTTCACCCGCTATGTGCCTACACATACAAAGACATTTGCTTGCAGACGAGAACAATCTGTCCTGACAGCAGGATTCCATAGATAGAAGTTCTCAACGGTAATACCTTTGTCGTGGGCAATATCATAGCATCCATCTCCTGTTTGTACCTTATAGAAAATCTTGCAGTCTTTGACCATACCTTCTTGTATAGGTGTTGGTGTAGCAGCAGCGGTGGCAGGCGTCGTTGGAGTCGTTGTTTGGCTTGACTGAGCGCTGATACAGACATAGTAGCCTGGCTGCAGCGCTGAGCAGCCAGATCCCACGGCAGGGTTCCATGAGTAGAACTGAGTCAGTTCGATTTTGGCATCGTTAGCGATCTTCCAGCATCCGTCTCCTGGTTGGACTTTGTAGAATCCATCACAATGGCTTGTCATCCCGTCTTGGGTGGGAGTTGGCGTCGTAATGCCGCCTTTAGGCACAGTGCTGGTAAAAGTGGGCGTGACAGTACCCGTTGAAGCGCCAATACAGACATACACATCGGCTTGAAGGCCAGTACAATCTGCGCGTACAGCTGGATTCCAGGTATAGAAGGAGGAAAGCGGAATATTGTTGTTGTTGGCGATGTCGTAGCAACTATCACCCGGTTGGACCTTGTAGAATCGGGTGCATGAGGAGGAGATGCCTGTCTGTATTGGAGATGGCGTAGCAACATTGCTTCCAGTGCTCGTTGCCGTAACCGATATGGTAGTATCGTCTTCGTCATCCTCCGGCGGGTACTGGGGGTTTGAGACACAGTAATATGTACCGAGTATAAGTTTTGCACAGTCTTTTCCAACGGAAGGATTTAGGGCGTAAAATTCTTCATGTGTTAGATGATAGAGATTGCAGAACCACTCGCAGGAAGAAAATTTTCTGGCGGCGACCCAGGATTTACAGTCGGCAGCTTCTCCAGCCGCGCGTGGACTCGGAGGAACCGTGGATCCTGTTGGAGCTATGGAAAACAATATATCAGGAACGAGAAAGTGTTCAGGTCTGAGGCAAGAAAACTCACCAGCTGTAGGTGATACTAATGCCACACAATACGAGCTATTAGCCGCTACAGTGCAAGGATAGTTGTAGTCCGCAGTCGTAGTGCTTGTCGCAAAAGGATTGATTGACGCGACTTGGACTGCCAATGCTGAGGCTGTGGCGCTTGTTGTAGTTTTGTTAACTTTTCCAAGTGACGGGTTCCATAAGATTAGTTCCTAATCGTCTATTAGGTCCGCTTTACATGCAACACGTATGATCGCTGCCGAGTCAAGGAGATAAAGGACATACCTCCGGTGTGACACCATAAGCAAATGCCAAGTTCCAACAATCCGCTGCGAGATTGTCCGTGAGGTTTTGAACTACAAAATAACTACCAGGTGGAAAGTCAGGAGGAACATGATTCAGTGATGGTTCCAGACTCACGAATAACAATCCAAGCGAGTCTTATTCGCAAGAGGAATCACCTCGGCGCTGGAAGTCAAATTTTCAAACGGTTTGCCCGCATAGGGGATCGCCGTCGCGGGTGTCTGGATAAAAGGCTTGGTCGCTGGCGCGCCATATCCCGGATACGTGGAGATGTACCCGACTGGCTTGACGCAGTAATATACATCCTTTTGTAAGTTGGTGCAGTTTGTCCGGAGGTCGGTGTTCAGGAAAAGACTTTCATCTAGATCAGCCATCCGCTATTGGCGGCTACCCATTCCATTGTGCTCACAAGTCTTTCAGGGTAATATCAAATTCTAGCGTAACGGCAGCGCAAGTGTCACCAGATAGGATCTTGTAGTATTGCGCACAAGTAGACGCCGTACCCGCCAACGTTGGGGAAGGAACCAAGCTACATGGAGTCGTTAGATTCGCTGCTGTCGCTTTCGTTTGAAATTGAACTCGGAAAAACTCACGCAGTAGTTGTTGCAATACTCGTTAGGCCGTGCGTGTTGGACGAGATGATATAGCTACCGTTTGCAACGGGATTGCTGATACAGAGGTGACCACCATCGAGAGCATCCAGATTACTTTGAACGTCGTTAGCTCTGTCTAGCCACTGACTTCCGTACACATACGAGCATTGCGGATTCAAACTGGGGTTCCAGGATAAGAGCTGCGCGTATGTAACTTTACTCTTGCTGCAGATGGCCAAGCATGTGTCATTGGACAAAACATTGTACTGGCGGCAGACCGGCGCAATGTTGCTGGCTGGCCCTGCAACGTCCCTTTTAGAAACGGTCGGCCATCGTAAGGCTAGAAGGCCGATGAGAAATGATTTCATCATAGCTGTCGCACCAGCTTTGCAGGGACTGAAGGTTGAGATCAAGCAGGTGAGAGGCCGCGAATACAACGCGATTTCTCCAAGCGTCTTCCAGACAAGCACATGGCAAGCATGGGGCGTGTGCTGAAGACTACAAAAAACAGGCAAGGCCACCCGATGCAACGTCCGATGGGGGAGTGGTTCTGCAAATTGTCGAACCTCGGTTCTTTCATCGGTCATCTCGGGAATGGACCGAGTGCTACATACATGACTCGACGATTACATGCAGTCTGTCTGCCCTGCATTAGCGACAAGCCAGGTTCATTTCCGCCACAGTTGAATCCCTGCTCCTTCGGCACAACCCGTGCCGACCCCTAAGTTAGCGCCCGCGTTAGTGCAGATCTTCAGGGTATTCCCGGCTGAAGTGACGACTAGGATGGATGAAAAAAAAAAACAGCGCAAACGACCCAGCCCACCGTCACTTTATTCAAGTAAGGCCGAAGGAGACGCCCCAGCCCGAGGTCCTATCCTGGCAAAATTTGTGACCTTCAAGGACGCTGCACCTGCCGGTTATCGACGACCCGAGGTCTATGAGGTGCCCGCCAGTCTCGGGTCTTGCCCATGCCTCATTACGTCCATATTTATGTCCGCGCGCCCATGAAGTCAAATACCACCAGTGCCGGATAGATTCTTTCACATTCCCAAATTTCAACATGACGAACTTTCAGGGATGGCGAACGCCGTCCTCGATTTTTCTACTCTGTTTTGCCTTTCTTTGTCTATTCGGTACTCAGCACGGTCCAATGCCAGTCGGCGCCCACTCTCATGGCCACTCTCATCGACATTTGGTACACCGTGGCAGTGAGAAGCAGAGTGGCGTATCTAGGGCGCTATCACTTCGCGAGTCTTCTCTAACGGCTGGTGTCGGGGGCCAAGGCGACTATACATGCGGTCCTGATCGACCGTGTTATAACGGCGCATGCTGTGGCGAAGGGGGTTGGTGTGGTTACAGTCCGAAGTATTGCGGTACTGGTTGCCAGTCCAACTGTGATGCCAAGGCTGAATGCGGTGAATATGCGGCAACAGTCGGTGCATCTTGTCCCCTGAATGTGTGCTGTTCGGAGTTCGGCTTTTGTGGTACCACATCAGAATTCTGCAACGCTGGTTGTCAATCCAACTGCAAGCAACCAAAACCGTCAGGGCCTCCTTCGAACGTCCAGAAAAGGGTTATTGGTTATTGGGAGGCATGGAATATGCAGCATCCTTGCGGTAACATGAACATTGGCCAAATTCCAGTGAACATGCTTACACATCTCAACGTCGCTTTCGCGTACATTAGCCAGGATTTCGCCATCACAAACATGGATGGAGTTTCATTGGAGACATACAGGAACATTGGCAACCTCAAGTCAAGAAACCCTAATCTGAAAATCGTCATCTCCCTTGGGGGCTGGGCATTCAGCGACCCGGGGTCGTGGCGCAATGTATTTCCAACCATGGTCTCTTCCAAAGAAAATCGCGCTGCGTTCATCCAAAATTTGCTAGGCTTTCTTTCAGAGTACGGCTATGACGGCGTTGGTGAGCCTGCCAGACCGCTACTCATTCTATGATCAGAGACTAACACACGTCCAGATTTGGGTAAGCAAGGCGATTGCGGTGCCAGATATTGATCCATCCAAGGCTTTACTCAGTCTCTCGAGGCACAGAGAGGCAGAGTTGTGTGATCATGCTAACCGGTTGCCAGACTGGGAATACCCTGGCGCTGAAGACCGTGGGGGTTCTAAGACCGACGCGAATAACTATGTGGCTCTTCTCACGGAGATGCGAGAGGCTATTAATCGCAGTGGTCGGAGTTACATTGTGACTTTCACGGCTCCAACTTCTTATTGGTATCTCCGTAACTTCGACATCAAGGGTATGGAGCCGTACGTGGACTGGATTAATGTCATGTCATATGATCTGCATGGTGTCTGGGACAAATCCAATCCTATTGGAAACCATGTTCTCGCCCACACCAATTTGACAGAGATCAGCTTGGCATTTGATCTGGTTGGTTGCTCCCAGGCTAGAAAACCTGTTTATATAACCGGTATTAACGTTGACTAGTTTTGGAGAGCGGAAGTTGCACCATCGAACCTAGTACTGGGCCTTGCATTTTACGGAAGAACATTTAAACTTGAGTCTTCGGCTTGCTGGAGGCCAGGATGCCTATTTAGTGGCCCAGGTGACGCTGGGCAATGCACAGGCACACCCGGCATTCTCTCATATCGAGGTAAAGCACGCAGAACGCTATGAATTATTACAGACAAGGGTCTTACAAGGTAATACAGAAATACAAGACCTTCTCCGCAAAACCGGAGCGGACTCGTATTTAGACGACGAGGCTGCCGTCAGATATCTTGTGTATGGCGAAGGCAGTTGGATCTCGTAAGTTTAGAGGGTATGGGAGGTGCAAATGAAGGCTAATGATCTCTTAGCTTTGACGACGACATTACCTTCCAGGCAAAGATTGACTGGGCTAACAAACTCGGCTTATCCGGGCTTATGATTTGGGCTGTTGATCTCGACGACAGCAAACTCACAGCACTGCGGGCTGTGACGAATTCAGAAGCGCAAGATGAAATACCGTTCTCTCTTGTCGACCTCAAATACCTCTTCCCGAAAGAAGATCTTCCTGCACCCGATACAAAACCTAGTTATGGTCTCATTACGTTCGGCAGTGCCGGCGATATGAGTGATCCCAGCCCAAGGTCAGGCCCGTTCGGCTTTCTATTGATTGCGAGCGACTCGCACGCGGTTTCAAGTCTACGTCGTAGAGCCGGCGAACCTGAGCCGTTTGTCTTCCTCGACTGTCCGTCAGACTTGCAGAATCAGCCCAAGAATAAAGTCCAGAAAGCAAGAGTTGCTTGTTTCAGCAAAGACCTCAAAGGGTGCTTCGGTATCCTAGAAAAGGGCGTCGAAGGAACAGTCGTTGAAATGCCAGATAATGTTGGTTTTGTCTCGGTCCGTGCTTTGCTTCGGGTGCTTCTGCTGACTTGATTGCAGTGCGGAAAGAATTCGTTTGCCCGGGCGATCTCGTTGGAGCTCTCTGCTGACCAGTATATCTCCGCGGAATATTCAGCACAAGGTTTGACGTCTGCTGTCTACGATTTTACATTTGATCGGAATCTCGGACTTATGAGACGGGATACAAACAACACCAGAATTCGATTGGACTACTCCAACGCTCAGAATTATTGGGATGCCATTGTTGACTCGCCTGGAATCCAATCACGCCATGTGGGAACACTGGAAGAGCGTTTCTTTGCTCCTGACAAGGCAGAGTGGACGAAAAAGGGTTTAGACTTCGAGTTCGACACCAGCAATGGCGAGACGATCCAAAAAGATATAGGTACCCCGCTCTTTTGGCAAACGGTAGATGACTGCGACGTCTCGGGTTCTGAGTTTAGCGAGGGCGTTGGCGTCTATGTCGACGGAACCATTGATGCAAAACTCTTCTACGGTTTCTCTTTGATTGTTCGTGCAATTTCTCCAGAAGCGCCCAATAACTGGAATGAGCAAAATGAGCGCATTTCTGGACTCTGCTAACTCTTATCAGGCGAATCTCCGAGATCGTGAACTAGGAGGATACGAGTTGGACGTAACTGAGGCCCACGGTTTCCTCAAAACGACTGGCCAAACAGACCTAACATACGGCATTGGCGGCGTTGGTAACATTGACATCTCCCGCGCGGGCAAAGGCAATCCAGCTTTCTACGAGCAACCAGAGGTACATGTCGGCGGTATGGGTCAGATCTCACCTGGAGCATCGGTTTGGGTCACGCCGTACTACAAAGTGATCTATCAACTGGCCACCATCAATGGATCAACCGGTGGTCCCAGTCTCCAAACAGGAGCGGCTCAATTTAATGGCCGAATGAGCTCCCGCGTCATCACTGATCTCGGAAACTTTCAAGTCAATTTCCCGACGGACAAGGAACCACCGCAGGAAATGTACAATGATAAACGCCACAAAAACCGAATCGCCATACCTGGCGATAACATCCTGTACGGAAGCTCTGCTGTCGGGGGCCAAGTGGCAATCGGTACATTTGTCAATTTCGGCCTTAAGATCGACATCTCGTTCTTTGGTGTGCCAGTACCAGATCCCAAAGTAAGTTTGCTGAATTCTACTCCAGATAATTGTCTAATTGATTTTATTTAGCTTGAGATTATCTACAACACTATGGGGAAATTTTCATTTTATCCTGGTGATGGCGAGCACGGCGAGGTCTGCGCCGACTACGATATCATGCAAGTTCCACCGCCGAGCACCGACTACGTCCAACTGTAGCACGATTTAACTGACCGCGATAAAGCACCGATATTTCCCAATCAATAGAAAATGCGTTAGTCTTTGCACGCCGTTATCGCAATCTACTTTTCCCGTTATTCCCTCTCACAAGGTTTCGGGACAGTGGCGCTGACGTGTCGTCGATTTTATAGAGACGTCCTTGGATGGGAACAGCCGACTTACTGGCCAACACTTGCGGCTGACGAGGTAGGTACTTTCTAATCCTTCTTATTATTTCAGCTTACATGAAATAGCAAGTCCCAAGTGACGGGAAGGTTTGCTATAAAGCCTCTAAGAATCCCGCCAAAAGAAGGTCGGATCTGAGCCGCAAAAATCACCACGGATATAGCGGCAGCATTTTTAATGACACGTCACCCACAAATTCTGTCAAGGCTGAATTATTTCGTGACAGACTCGAATCTCGGCAAACCGATGGGTCTCCAGTATTCCCCGGCTGGGGTTACGATATAGACAAGACCGTGCAGCCCAGCACCTACTTTGGTGCGGGAAATGGCCTCGGTGCTTTTGACGGCCTCAATCCGAAATTCTCATGTAGTGACTGCATCGGATGCGATCTGCAACAGCCACATCCTTGCTGCGGCTGCGTCTGCATGGATTGCCGTTGGGGCACCAGCGACATCCCCGGCGGAACTCTCCACACCGGTTGGCCGGGTTCAGCTTTGATGTCGAAGAGGCAGGAGACAGACAGCGCCGAGCATGTGCACAATGACACCCTAAACTATCTCATTAGCCGGAAGAGTGGCGAAGCCACTATATCGGCTAAGAAACTGAGAGTGTGCAAGGTACCGTATGAGCCAAAGTTCCCATACACGTATCCATCTTTCCCCCAAGACGCGAGCTGGCCGTGGGAAAATATCCAAAGAAACAAATGGGATGCTATCTCTCGCTATTGGGGTAACTCAAGTAGTGCCTGCCAGAACTGGGGTGTCACTAGCCTACAACCGGCTGATACCCTCCTGGCTACAAATTCTCTGGGTGTCGTGCAAAGGGTACGGGCCAACTATGAAAGTGAGTAGCTTTAAAAGCGTGCGTTTCGGGCTCTGAGATTAGTTTGCTGATATAAGTTGTTGCAGCCGAACACCCCCTTGAAGGCCAGTTGATATCCGACTTCTTTGACCAGTGGCTAGATCAAGGCGCAATCAAGAAACAGACGCCTGTGCCGTCCAACCCGTCCCCCAAGGTCCCCTGCTCTTGGAGCGAACAGTGGATGACTCGTGTGGGAGTGCCATCTTGGCCGTGGCAACTTCGTGGCGCAAATAGGCCGACGTTGATAGCGGTGTTGTCTGGTGAACTAGGTTGTCAAGACAAATTGGAACGCCTTGCTATCTTCTTGAAGAGACCAAACATGAAGAAAGGCAACGTATGTACAACTTATATGGCGTCTCCTTTTTACACCTTTCCCGCTGACCAGTGGTATTGCAGGTGTTCAAAGGTGCCAGCACAGTTGACGCCACGTTGTATAAGAACATGAACGAAGACGAGCAATTGCAAGAAGCCAAAGAGCTCGGTAAGAAATACCAAACATCCTAAATTCATCCCTGATGTTCATCTCAATTGCTTGACTACGTTACATGTTTGTTGACAACTTTTACTGTGACCCAGGCATGATTTTTAACTATATGAACTCTCAAGAGGTTTGGGGCATGTTCTGCCTCTCTTATGAAGGCATATATGATCGATTTGGCGAGTTTGACGCGTGGTACTCACAACATGGTCAAGGAGTGGCCATTCCGAGCTTACAAAGCGAGTGGAAGAGTTACATGCGCGTAGTGCTGGATTCGGCTGTCTTGCGGTCGCGAGCAGAGTTTGACCTGATGTATACGAATAAACGGTACGATTCCCACGTCATTGCTGCATCTGGGAAGCAAGCTCACGTTCTCTTTCAGCAACTCATTTCTTCTTAGCGGTTTGTTCTACAGAACAATCTGGTTTTATAACTATTATTGGAACAGACGTTCTATTAGAATCGCACGACAGTGCCAGCACATGGATGTCTCTACTGTCTAGGGACTCAATACGGAGCCGATACATAGTTCAACTTACGTTGTACATCAAAGGCCTTCTAACCGCTAGGGGTAATGTTGTGTTGTTTAGAGGTTGGGTGGTTTACGGTGCAGGTGGCCAGAGACATGTAAGAAAAAGGCTTGAAAGTTAAATTACAATCGCAAGCTACGCCGGCAGGGAGAATCTGCGAAGCCCTTTACAATGGCGACGTGCGTCATAATACTAATCATTCGTGCCTGCGGTGCATGCAGTACTTGCGTGTTCGTATGACAAACTCGCAAGAAGAATGCAATGACTCCGGACGGCAGGAGGTGCTAGGCACTCCTTGCGTCGTTTACACAACGACGTCGTGGATAACGAAGGTCTCTCTGAAGAGGTCGAGGTTACGCGGCACGTAGACAGGCAACGGGCCGAGTTGAAATAAGGTAGTGTAAGCATTGTATCATCACTGCCAAACCCGTGCATACGTCGCCTGTTTTCACGTCACAATTTCCTTGGCCGGAAAACCGTTTCCAAGTAGTGATGGTCTACAGGAGTTATGAGACGAAGGGGGCCCCGAACAAGGACTTGGTTCGTCCGCATCTGCAGTTATGAATGGCAGCCTGAGCGCTGACTTTGCGATTTGAGCTAAGTTTGCCGACATCTAGACGAGCCACTGTGACAACGAATATCCCAGAACCAGAAAAACCAAAGACCAGGGTAAGATCCGACGAAGCTTCTTACTCGGTAGATCGGAGTGTTGAATTTCTGAAGTGGATCCCCAACTCTCGTGTGCAGTTTCATCATGACCAGGTGCATCAGTGAGGTGTCTTTGCGTGGCATTTGGCACCACCGGTTCCTCAAGTTGCCTATAAATGCCGAGGCGCCGAAAGTCCTCGTCAGATAGCCATGGCCGTTCGTATGCCGGTTCGAAAGCATCACGAAGGGTCCCAAGTCCGAAGCGCACTATATCAGCACCGTCAACGAAATCAAATGGATTTTCGCCTTGACAGTACAGAAAATTCTCGACTTCCATCTCAAGCCAATGGGCTCTCGCAACAGTGGTGAGTCCGGACATGTCGTACGTTGCAATCCTGACTTTAGGCGGGGCATCCCAGGAATGCCAAGCAAGCTTTTCGCGCATATCCTGCAGAAGGTCGCGATAGTTGCCACGTTCGTGAAGAAAATGGAGGAAGCCAAGTTCCACAGACCTGAGGCTCGTTGGTAACGCTGCAAGTAAGTCTATCAAGTCTGACTGCTGAACGAGGAAGTTCCAGAGACTGAAATGCTGCAGTCGAGCCAACCGATCCACCGGGAAAATGGTGCGCAATGGTAACAGCTCAACGTCGTCGTCAACGTATGGATTGCTTTCGATATCTGTAGCCAAAAAGAGACATTTCAAGTCGGTAGCTCCCGCGAGAGCGTTGCACAGAAGCCCACTGCGAAACGCTGGCCAGTCCAAGTATTTCTGTCCACCCACAGATAATGAGAGACCGAGATGACTGAACCCGGGGCGTCGAATGATGGAGACAAGGTGACCGTATTCATCGCATGGTTGCTCGAAAATGCGACAATTCAGGCCGGTCGGTAATGAGTGTGCGTCGACGATGAATTCTGTGATGTAGTGGCTTTTCTGCTGTTCCGAAAGCACGCGGGTGACTACAGAGTAGCCGCGCCACTGGGCTCTCACACAGTCGCTATCGATACCAGTACTGCGGCCATCTCCAACCCAAGGTAACGCCTCGACATCGACCGCCTCCGTGTATTCCGGCGTTGGCCAACCCCGAGGAATGGGGTAGTTAAAGCCCGTAGGGAATGCGCGTATCATTGGCGTCGCATAAAGTGGATTAAAAAGGAATCCGTGCGCTGCAGGAGTGATTGTGATTCTGCGTAGCGACGAAAAGCGCGATAAGGCATAAACCAGAGCAGCACTGTCCGCTTCGGATTGGATTATCTCGTCTTGTTGTAGTACAAGTTGCCGATAATAGGCCCATGATTCCATGAGCGGCATCTCCGCATCACATTGACGCTGTCTCAAATCATGATCAGGACGAGCTGCGTCCTGGCCCTTGCGACCATTGAGCGTGAATATGTTTTCCTCGCGACACTTTGCGAACCAGTTCAGATTGTCCTCTTCGGCCGTGGGAAGGTCCCAGCCATGGTAATTTCCTGGGTCTGAAGAACCTCCAGCTTCAGCTGCAGATCGCGGCAGACGTGCATCATCGTAGATAATCTCGACAACATTTGCCCGTAACGTTTCGTGGTTTGCGATGGCGAGAAAGACTTCAATGTTGCGCGGATTTGGTGAGAGGAAAACCCGATGGATACGCAAAGACACCCTCGCGCCGAAAAAGCGACTGGCCAATCGTAATCTTTTAAGCTCGCAATTTGACAATAAATTCGTTATAAGGAGCAAAACTTCAGCAGGCAGCTGCTCGATTGAGGCTGGTGACGGAATGGCCATGCTTGCTGCCTGCGGGGCCTTGTGAAGTAAAGCTCACCAGAGCGTCTGAAACCGTGGGACAGTCCGCCTGCTAAATATACAGGTACATAGCACGCTAGTGTTGTACGCGAATTGCGTGTACGATGGTTAGTCAGCTGAGGTAGCCGTATGCACAAAGCGGGCGGTTTGGATACAACGATATGCCCGGCCCAGCTAACTGACCGGGCCACGATGCGTGCACTTCTCCGCGGCCGAACTGCAGCACCATCAAATGAGCCGCCAGCCGCGGTTGGCATCACTTGATGTTGAACCAGGCTTCGAGCCTGAGACGTTCTTGTACTCGACTTGCGCAATTTTGTCTGACGCGGCTTGACAGCGTCACCACAGCCGCCGCTGTCCATCTGTACGTCGTTGGGGGCGCCTGGACGATGTTTCAATTTCGATCGTTTGGGCTCGTTCCGGGGTCGCATTGGCGACGTGGACGATACCGCATCCACCTGCGACTTCGCTGCAGGAACTGTCAGTAAGGCGCTGCGTTGGCCGAGAAGCACGAACCAGTTGACAATCGTTCATTACTCGTGCCGTCAGGCCCAAAGGACGCCAGGAATTGCACCAAGGCATCCAGGCTCGAGTACTGGGTCCATCGCAAGAGATTTCGATATTTCGATGCGCTGAGGGTTTGGCTGCCGTGTGCAAGGGCAGCACACGTTTGGCCGTGGGCTAAGGTGATTTCCTTTTCCCGTCTCGCTTTTCTCGCACCGAGAAGGCGCAGAAATTCGTCCTTACTGCCGGTTTTCGTCTCCCGCACGAGCTCAACCACGTCCCGATAGAAGGAGGGCAGGTCCTGCAGGAAGATGGTGGCTGTATTGTACTTCTTGTAGAGAAAGCCGCAAAGATCTTCTTCCTCCAAATCAACCTCCCACCAAGGCCATTCGAGTGTGTTTTGCCGGTCGGGCTTGGAGAGGGGGGCCCAAGACATGGCGACGATGGGACGGGACAGACGCCGGAGGTAGCGTTTGGCGGCGATGACGCGACTCTCGTGCTGGGTGGGAGAGGCTGGGATCGCACCGTGCAAGTTTACCACAACAAACACTGTCGTATGTGGGGCGTCGCGATCTCCCGTAGCGCCCGTCGCTAGCCCTCTGCCCCTGGGCGCGTGGAGCCTTGCCTTGGCAGCGAACCATACCCCCCTGATTTGCGTTGTTCGAAACCGCGCATCCGCCTCGATCTGTCGCGGCAACCGCTGCGTATCATTAAAATGGCTTCGACCGGCTCCTCTCGGCCGCCGCGACGAGGTGGAAGCACTTCGTTCTACACTAATGGCGCCTCCTCAAGACACTATGGACGACAGTGGCAGCACGACGAACGAGCACTCCAGCGGCTTCATTGAAGCTATTCAGGCAAAGCTGAAAGAGGGGCAGGAGCAAGACCTATCAGTGCGGGACTCTTTGGAAAATTTACCACTTAACGAAGCTCCGATTGATACACGAATAATCATCAGCTTCCGCGACGCGTCGCNGGGGGGGCCAAGACATGGCGACGATGAGACGGGACAGACGCCGGAGGTAGTATTTGGCGGAGAAGACGCGACTCTCGTGCCTGGGTGGGAGAGGCTGGGATCGCACCGTGCAAATTCACCACCGCAAACACTGTCGTATAAGGGGCGTCACGATCTCCCGTAGCGCCCGTCGCTAGCCCTCTGCCCCCGGGCGCGTAGAGCCTTGCCTTGGCAGCGACCATACCGCCCTGATTTGCGTTGTTCGAAACCACGCCTCCTCCTCGATCTGTCGCGGCAACCGCGGAGTATCATTAGAATGGCTTCGAGCGGCTCCTCTCGGCCGCCGCGAGGTGGAAGCACTTCGTTCCACACTGATGGCGCACTATGGACGACAGTGGCAGCACCACGAACGAGCACTCCAGCGGCTTCATTGAAGCTATTCAGGCAAAGCTGAAAGAGGGGCAAAAGCAAGATCTATCAGTGCGGGACTCTTTGGAAAGCATACCACTTAACGAGGCTCCGATTGATACACGAATCGTCATGAGCTTCCGCGACGCGTCGCGGGCGATGGGCTGGACGATCTCCGTCCGTGGCCGACAGAGAAGGACATCTTCACGGTGCAGCAAACACCCGACAGCACCGACCCTGTGTTGCGATAAGATCACGAACCGCTATGCTACTTCTATTTCGACCCCGCCACCGATCATATACCACTTTCTCATAAATGCAAAGGGCCCGTCGAGGTCGTCGACCTGGTCGCCGGCGAGCGACGCGGCGTGCCTCGTCGACAGTGCGAGGGGATCCGCCCAGGCTGTTGGCGCGTATATGGTCCGCGGCCACACACATCCTGTGGAGCAGCTTTCACTGGGGCAGACTCGGTCTATTAGGCCAAGATCGGCTCGACAAGTGGGCACCCCGACGCAGCATATACTCTGAAGCATGTGCGCACTGCAGCAGTGAAGCAGACAGCTTGCGTCGTCATCGGTCATCATTCTAAATTGGGCCGTGTTTCCATCAAGGTGGTACACCGTGAACCTAAGCATGACTCCCGCTTTGTTCCTTCAACGCTAGCGGTAAGCGCATCCGTTGAGGCGACACGGGTTGCCAAGCACTATCACCAGTGTCTTGCCGCACTTGCGCACGTAATCTCGCGAATTCACAAAGATCGACCCAACGAACGCCGAGTCCGCAGGGCGGCGCAGCCATTAATGGCATGAGACAGGAGTGACGCCGCAGGCCGGCATGCGCGAGGCCACGGACGAAAGTGCACACACACTCTTCCTGCGGCCGCCTTGCCAACCGCTGAGCTAGCGCTTGCCACGACGGCAAGGGTACGATATGTCGTTGCAGGCATCAATCATATTGCTTGTGGAACAAGGGAGAGTAGAAGGTGAACTTCTCCCAGCAAAAGAATAATGCATAAAATAAAATAAACGCCCGACATTCTTTTCCTTGCTGGTTCTGCACGTGTCCAAGGAACGCCCTGATTGAGCAAGCAGCCGCCCCTATTACCTAGCATCATGAGCATCATCACTACCTGATACAGTTTGGCGGTCGTAGATAGAGAACGCAGACCGCAGCTTCTCCAACGCGGCGACATCAATAGCACCCATTAAAACAAGGGCATCAACTTCCTGTTCCATTCTTTGACGAAGCTCCAGGGGGCGATGTTTTGCATTTAAGTCAGGGTTTTCGTTCGACGCGACCGCAGGGAGTTCATCATCAACTGCAAATGTCCATTGCTCCCAGTCGAATGACGGGAAGTCGAATGACGGGAATGCGTCGACAGACGTGGGCAGCTGATCCAGGCTGGGCTGAGCATCCCAGTCCGCTAGTATCTGATCCAAAAAGTTACCATGGTCATCATTCTGCCCAAAGTCGTCGGAGAAGGCAACTTGCCAGAGCTCGGCTGAGTCTTCCAGATCTTCTCCGGCATAGACTTCGATTTGTTCGTGGCTTTGGTGCTCTAAGGGGTGGGCTTCTCTGTCGGGCACCTCCGCTGCACTAAGCTGCACCAAGCGGGCTGCCGCGGCCACGTCTTGGGCATCATGTGGAGGGCCTAGGGGAGGTTGACGGCCGTGAACGGGAAGTGCAAACGGCAATTCCTCCAACATGGTAGCATTGGGAGCGTGTACAGCCAAGAGCGATCCAGAGCCTTGAATTCTGGCAAGCAGTTCATTGAACTCATGTTCAGCTTCTGGGACGGCCGTCCGGAGGTCATCTCCGTTAACGGCTATTTCGGCCGGCAATTGTACTTCGTCGCCCGAGAATGACGTATCGATGGATGCTGACCTGGCCAAATCACGGACAGGCCCGATCGCGTTGCGGTTGGCCCGTGCGTCAGTCGGCTGTTGTCTTTGGTTGTGTGAAGTTGACGTATTGGTAGTCGTTGGACTGGCTGGGTTATGCGCAAAAAAGCTTGCGAGGTAGTCTGTGCTGATGTCACTCGCTGGAATATCGGAAAGAATAGTGATAGGCCAAGATCTCTGGGCGAATCTGTCGCCTATGCTGGTTTGTGAGTGGTCGGCGTTGAAACTTGTGTAAGTACCAGTAGCTGCCTCGGCCGGAGCATGGACATCGTCGGGTGGCGCCGCCGACAAGTGGGCAATTTCGTCGGCGTCAAACCGCGCAGATGTCAGCCTAGCGCTTGGGCGACGGTCATATTCCAGAGGCTGCGCAGGAGAAATTCTAACTCAATTTTAGCGAAGGAACATCAAACTGTTGGTCTCGTCATTCTGGTGCGTTCTGGATCAGCGCGAAACTCGCCAGAGCTTACCTATCGGACGATCCAGGACGACCATTGGTAATCGTTTGCCTCGGAACCCGGAGCTCATCGCCCTTATCTGATTCCATTTCTCACAGTGGTGCGAGCTCTGGCCTGGAGAGCATCCGGGTTACCCTTCGTGATTATTGTTTGAAAACAACGACGGAAAACCAACCGCTGGCGGTGCGAGGAGGGAATGGTGCAAGCCGGAAGACTGGAGCCAGAGACTATCTGTTGATAGCTATGATGGCGGGTAGCGCGGCCAGAATACGTTTACATGCTGTGAGGGTCGCTTGATTTATATTGACTCTCGACCAAGGCCGAGGTATTGGGAACGCCATGACGGACTTACGATCACATCACGCGGCGCGATAACTTAGTCAGGGCAACGTGGATTGCCCGACAAGAGGCTGGCCGCCAACACCCTGCTGCTCATGCAAGTCATCTCATAGGCGAGCGGCCAACGTGATCAGTTGACTGACCATGACCCAACAAAGAAAGCAAGAATGCGAGCGCTGAGCAGGATGTCGAGGATCAAATCCCGATTCGAAGACTTGCAGCAGAACCCTGTACATTGATTGGCTAAGCGGTAGCTCACGTTTTCGTGACACCCCTTGTTGGGTTGCGGCCCCGTGTCGAATCCCTGTAATCACGGATTTGCGTTATCCCCTTGTGCCCATAACTGTGAACAATGCACCACTTCGTGCAGGAAACGGTCATTTATGATTGCGCATTACGAAGAGCCACTGAGGCGGCAGACACTCTAGGATCTGTGCGAAGCACGGGAGGCCCCGCTCAGAAGGCAAAGGCAATTGCACAGCTTGAATCGAGATTGTCACGCAGCTGAGGCGAAGCGAAAAGTCCAGCCGAGCTACCTGGCACCGTGCGTCGGGCGGAAACTGTAGGGCTTGACCCCCCAACGGGAGGGAGCACAAGGGCTACACTTTTCGCACATCAGTTGGCGCCTCACCTCGCTGGCGACCTCAGGTTTCGCTTACCTCACTGCCGCACGCCCTCACCAGCGCCTCGATTTCAGTTTACCTTGTCGGCGACGGCATTTCGGCGCGCCGTCATCAGCACCTCGGTTTCCTGTCCACCTCATTGGTGACATCCAACATCAACCTTACGTGAAGTCAGTTTGCAAACAATGGCCCAGATACAATGACTAATCTACTGGCGAAGACTCTCTTGCCCGCCTATGTGTGAAAGCCACGGTTGGTCAGAACGTAGATATGTCCGTGCACATTGCTTGTGTCCACTGTTCGAAACGCAGAGGCCTTTGGCCCCGTCGAAGCGAAGTATATTGTGGGTGTATCCAAGTAAAATCTTTTCTTGGGGATGGCGAAGTGAGCGTGAGCTAAGTGAATTCCGACGGTTCCCTGGGCGTGAATTCGAACAAACAGCGTGGCGAGGTCACGTATGTGAGGCTCGAGGAGTTCGGGCCGTCATGATTTAACTGGAAGTTCTTCGTCATTTAGTAATTGTCACACTGACACCGGAGTCCGGAAATAGTACATGTTTCGGCTTTTCTCGCAGACCTCTTCACAGAGAGCCTTGCTGAGACCCGGATCCATGATCCATCGTTCGAGGTGCCATCAGTCGTGTGTAAGACGGTTCGTCGAAAGATGTGGGTGAACATGGCCGGTACAGGTCGCTGTATTAGCTTCTTCGGTCGACGATTAATAGCCGCGTGATGTGTCACATGGCTCTACTTTTGGGTGCCAGGACCACGAGGCTTAACCGCCCGGTTATCGTTCACCGTATCACACACCCGAGATCATCGGCGTCTAGGCAGACAATTCTCGCAACCAAACTCTCCCTTGTAAAAATCTGCACCCCTGAAGAGCTGTTAGCGGCTCGCTAAGCTTGGGCCAGATTTTGCATGCCACCCAACCGAGCTTTCGTTGCCAAGGCCCATCGTGGCCCTACAGCACAGAGGAAGACCTTAGGAGAGTCCATATTCCTCTGCGAAGCCGGTGTCGACAATTGCACTTTGGCCCATAGCATTCCTCCGGAACCAAAGAGCCATTGGGCAATTGGAGGGTTCACCCTTTAATCACGGTGACCGGTTGCGGAGGTTTTTCTCCCTGAAGGCAAGTGCACGACAGCCTCTGATTCCTTCCGAGGGTTTTCCCTGCCGCCGCTCCTCCATCCTTACCTTTGCTTTGTTACTGGAGCATGGCACTGCGGCAGCAGCGTTGGCCGAACGAGCGAGAGAATTCTGACCGGTGAAAACCAAGGGTTGACCATTGTGGCTATAGCCACGCGCCTGGAAGACCCGCTGACGGACACCAGGCTCTGACGCGCAGCGCCTCCGAGCCGATGAAATGCTCGATGAACATCTGAGAAGACTTGCCGCGGGCGCCAGCCATATCCGGGTTCGACCTCGACAGCTCGGACTGCGAGGTCTTGCAAGAAGCACTGGGCGATGCCTTTCGTGGCGCTTCTCAGATAGTTTAGCTCAGCACGTCCTGTGCCCCGCCTGAGCGGCCTTACGGCCGCTGGACGAAACACACACACACACACAGACACACACACACACACACAATTCTCGCAACGCGCGGGGATCACTGAATTCACGGAGATCGCAGGCAATACATACACCTGAATAACAGCGCCTTCCGTTCTGGTGCAAGAGCGAAATCTTCCCATTCGAAAGCAAGCGGGTTAAGCTCCAGTTGAATAATGTGCCCCGATCTTTTCTGTTTGTAAGTTTGCCACCAGCTGCGATGCGTCCTGCGTATTCGGAGGTGATAGCTTCGGCCAGGATTTCAGGTGCTTGTCCGTGGCAAAAGAGAATGTAACTGGCGACCCATGTCTCGATTCGAAAGCGACTCTTGCGTCCAGAACCGCTCTACAATCCGTATTAGTAGTGGCAGATTGCGGGTGTATTACTGACTCACAATCCTCCATTCTCGAAAAAGATGTCCTGCGCTTTACAGCCCGCTTGCTCCAGCCGGGCGGATGCAACCTCCCACATGCGGTTTGCCGCGCGTACGCTGTCCAGAGCCTCCCGTGACGCCTTGTGCGAGGCTTTCCAGTACCTCGCCTCAGACTTCGCGCTCCACAGCTGGATAACAAGAATATCGGCTTCGGCGCCGCCCTTCCTGAGCTGGTAGGTATGACCCTTATCTTCGTGGATTCTCCGATAATCTCCCAAGGCGCACCACGTCAAAGAGGACTCGAGGATCGTTCGAATACGCTGGCGCTGTTAAAGAACCGCATCTCACAAGGCGCCTTCGAAACTAACCATGTCTTGATGAACATTAAGGCTGTAGAACTCGAGGCCGGCATTGGACGAGGGCGAGAATTGAATCCCGCTGTCATCCATCTCTGCAATGCGGAGACCCATTGCAGGGTCCTGTATAGTGTAGAATCCATCTTCCCGGAGGGCTTGGATTGCGTCGTCAACGGTGAATTCGCACGAAGCCATCAGCTCAGATGTCGCCAGGCGAGATGTCGCAATTGTTGGGCGCCCGGAAGCATGGACTGGTGGTGGACTTCCTGAGCGAACCGAGCGGAGGTGGGATAATCCGGCGGCCAAGGATGTCACATGGCCGGGTATCCACCAGACCATCCAATCATGGGCGAGTGTTGTGGCACCGAGGTGGAACAATGCACAGACGGCTTCCAGGAGAACCTCAAGGGTCGCCTCTCGCCTATCCTCGATCTCTTCTACAACGCCGATCTGCTAGACATACGTACGGGTTTCATCGACGACGTCGCTATTTCGGCGTGGGCCAAGACCAGGGAGCTCACCCACTTCACAAGAGCAAAGCCAGAATCGACACCAGTATACCGCTACAAACAAGATGGGGCGTGATCGAACCAAAACCAACTTGCAAGTACCTGGGCGTAATGATGGACAGCAAACTACGGTGGAGACAGCATATCGACGAAATGGAGCGAAAAGTGTCTACAACAATCGCTGCGCTGAGACGCCTCGGGAACTCTGCTTGAGGGTTCGCACGAAGGAGATGCGCACCATCTACCGAGGCGTTGCTAGGGTGAGGAGCGGTGCATCCATGGCGACCTCGCTGCCGGCACTAGACGTTGAGATGCATCTTCTCCCGGTCGAGCAGCAAATATGGAAGCATAACATGAAGCGCTCGACCGAATCAGCACACCGTCATAAAGTCCGACCAGACAAACGCAACGAAGACGAGAAAAGACCAGCCCCCGCGAGGCAATACAGAAAATGATCCACCGCAGACGAAGCTCGTGAGAGGCACCTCGCCCTCTTACTACAAGAAATGAGAGCCCTCACATATACACAGACGGAAGCGGCATCAACGATCAGATCGGCGCGGCAGCAGTCTGCCAGACAATACAGCAGACGCGAAGCCCATACGTGGGAACCGAGGGTGTCTCAACGCGGTCTACGCCGGCGAGCTACCGGGCATCTCGCTCGATATCGCTCAACAAGATCGAGCCCGAAGGATACTGACGTAGCATGGTCATCATCTACACTGACAATCAGGCAGCCATCCGGTCTACAGCCAAAATCAAGGCTAAATCTGGAGCCTAGCTACTGAAGAAGATCGTATCCCAAACGACAACACTGCAGGGACACAACTTGCCGATTGAAATACGATGGGTTCCGGCCCACACCGGAGTGCAAGGGAACGAAGACTTGGACAGGGCAGCCAAAGAAGCCACAGCATGGTGCGAGCGCGGACCAGCAGGGCTACGAGCGGAAATGCCGTCAGAACTCTACTCAGTCCGCTCCACACCGAAGACATGGACACACAAAGAGGCCTACAAAGCCTGGGCGTCGGGGCGGACGGCGGACAAGCGAGGCAGAACTCCGTACCGTTACACGCCCAAGCCGACCAAAAGGTCCTACGGCTGCACGACGGACTGAGCAAGCGCCAGAGCGCACGTCTCGTCCAGTTGCGAACAAACAAGATAGGACTCAAAGACTTTTCCTTCAACCGAAGAGTGCCGGAAGCCACGGATGCCAACTGCCCATGCCGGGAAGGACGCCAGATGGTATCGCACGTCCTGATGCGATGCCGTAAGTATCGACAACTCCGGCGCCAGGAACTAGGTCCCCTGCCAGGACGACACTACCTCCGCGACATATTGAACGAGCGCAAGGCAGCCGCAAAGGCCATCAAGTTTATGGAACTGACGGAGATCCTTGGGCCTTTCAGGATCGAATCCCACACCAGACAAAGCTGAGCAGTGGGGGGAGACTGTAGGTATCCGGACCCAAAACATCGGGGGAATCGTCTCGACAGAGCCTGTACACACGGAAGATTAGCAGAACACCACGTTCTACACGAGGGTGCCAGCCACGGTAGATTGAGTTGAGGAGCAAAGCGGGAATTTTGGGGGCAGCTGGTCGGACTTTGTTTACATTGCGCTGGCGAAGTGGGGCGGCCGGATTAACCTCCGGCCGCGTCGGCTGGTTACCCGACCCCGCTCGCCGGGCATGGCTGCGGTTGAATTAGCGGCTACAACCGAGTAGGAATACCGCTCAGTTCAGTTCTGTGGCACCGAGGTACAAAGGGCCAAGCGCCTTTCATTCATTCAGGGCATTGTTCAACGCATTGAATAAAATGTCGAGACGAAAATGTGCGGATTGCAGGTATTTATTGTCTCCAAAGCGATAAAGCAAACACCTGAAAGCGACAAAGTATAGCCACAGCGCCCTCTCCGTTCCAAGGCCGCGTGTCGAGTCGGGCCATCTGCAACTTCGCCGTGGTCAGATTCATCTCTCCTGGATGTGCGCACTCTTTACTTGCCGGAGTAAATTCATGGTCAGGGTGCGTATCCGGTCACATGGTAAAGCGTTCATCCAACTTTGCCAGTACCTTTGCAGTCGGTGCAGAGACCACCGCCCTTCATCCCTTCGCCGTTGCAAGCTTCGCACGTAGACATTGTTTTCCGTGTTGAGAAATGAGTCGTTACAAAGTTGGGTATGGTCGATCATTCGCAACCGCATCCACGGGGGCCTTGAGCCAGTTTAAATGACGGGGGTAAGGTTACGTCGGGCATTGGTCACGGCCTGGTCAGCAACCCATCACGTGGCGACCCACTTAACTGAACAGAAGACACACGCCACAGGGCCAACAGGAGTATCTTTAAAACAGTGCCGCCCATTCGCTGGTTTCTTCCACAATCTTCCCACATCGGTCGCTCCATCCGCCCCAGATGGCAGCTGAATACGCTCAGCATCGTCAATGTCAGACTTGTTTTGTCTGTTTCCAATCCAACCGGCAGCTTACCGAGCATGTCGAGCAATACCGAGTCAGTAGCCAGTCATACCGACAAATTTTGTCTCTTACAAACTGAGTAGTCCCGAGAGCGGATCTTAGCCGCTGAACTCGAGCGCTGCCGAATGCATATGGATCAATATGCCAACAATAACAGCGAAGAAGATGGCGGCGGCGGCTCTGAGGGCGAGGAAGAGCTCCCCAATCACCACTTCCAACAGAATTCACTTCGGTGTCCCGTCGATGGATGCGACCGAAGCGAGCCGTACACATCTAGACCCAATCTTGTACGGCACTTCCAAAAGCGTACGTTACTTTACCCGTATCCGCTACGATGCTAAATGAGCCCCAAGATGTTGCGTGCAATGAGTTGTGCCCTTATTGTTTTGAAAGCTTCAAACAAGTCCATCGATTTCTTAGGCATGACTGCAAAGCAGTCCGAGATGTGCCCAAGACCATTTTGGTACAGCAGAGAACGGCTCACTTCAACACGTCGGTTAGCCGGCAACTAGAACGACTGCAACGGGGCGGAGGCTCTAGCAAGAGACGACGGGAACACGACGCTGGACTGGATTGCGAACGCACATGCAAGATCACCAAGACGCTTCCTGGTCCTTCTGAAAGAACCAATGGCCCGGGTCTTGCGGCGACAGCTCGGAAGAAAAATGCAGAAAAGCCTACGCACAGAACTGAGCGGGCATTCGACGAATCGTCCGCGACTTTGGGCGTGAACGACCGTGGTTTAGGTCGCCCTGCCCAGACAGCTAGGGATGGCCAAGGGGAGCTTGCCGCGGCTGGCACGGTACTGGCTGCGTGCAATGGCAACTGGCCATATGTTTCCGATGGTGTGAGCGAGAACGTGAGTGATGGGGAGTGGGCATTCGCGACCACCAATATGAGCGGCACTGCGAGCACCGATGACTGGGCATTCGCAGATATCAACTTGACTACAGGCGATGGCGAGTGGGCATTCGCTCCGACAACAACGAGAGCCGCGAACAACGGCGAGTGGGCCTTTGAGATGTTCCGTGATCCGCTTGTATCCTAACTACAGCAACGCTTCAGGTTTTTAGTAAATTCTTTCTGATGTAAACCGCTACTTTGTTCAGGGTAGCAATGCGACGCGGTGTCTGATCGCAGTCTGCACTGACATGGGAGCAGACCATTGAGTCCGGTGTCGGTAGTTGGTGAGGCTAATGAAGCCGTGTCTCTGTTGCACCGTGTTACCAATAATAGCTCAACTGCATGGCACGAACTGTCAACGGCGAAGCAGTTCGACCTCAGACCTGTAGGGGAGTTGAACGCGGTAGGGAAGAAGCTTTGATGGCGTTTTCGTACAAAAGTCAGGACTCATGGTTCGGCTCGCCTTAATGAGATAGTGTAAGCCCGCTGGCAGCAACCGCCGGCGCAGCAACGTTTGAGGCGAGGCTGGCAGAGTAACGACAACTAGTCTCGCACGATTAAAGCGCACATCGCAATGAAACACCATCGCATCCGTAGCCACAAGTACTGTACAATATGCTCGCCGGTAACAATAGCTCCGCAAAGGCGCAAACGCGGCTGTTCCAGCCATCCTTGTTATTCCCCTGCGCCTTTCCCCGCACACCTTTGCCACTTTTGACGGGCGGCACAGTGACGGAGGGGTTACGCAAATACGTGATTACAGGGATTTCGACGCGGGGCCCGCCCACCCAACCAGGGGTGTCACGAAAACGTGAGCTATCGCTTAGCCAATCAGTGTATAGGCCTGCTTAGAGGAAGTGACGACTGTATCCGCAATGCAAGCGCAAGTGCAGGCGCAAGTGCAAGTGCAACTGCGACTGCGACTGCACGTGCGGGCGCTGGCGCTGGCGCTGGGTCATAGCCAGAGCTTTTCGGGCAAGATGCAGGTGCGAGCGCACAGGAGTGTGATTGAACGCACACGGCAACCACGTCCGCTCGCACGTTCGCGTGGCGATGCCGTCAACTATTCTCGGGCGTTGACGCGGAATTTGTCGGCCAAGGTTGAACGGAAGAGAAGCAATCCGGTCACGCCTCTTTTGTGGTCACATCGTTGGGCGCACAGCTAATTGTCAATCAAACCGGTCTTCTTTCTATAAATTGCAACTACAGCCACAATTTGGCGAAACTGTGCAACACAATATCTGACCGCCCACACGTGGTACAATATGAGCACTGACTCCGGTGAACCTGGCTTCTGCATCTACTGTGGTCATTTTCTGAGCGCACATACGAAAGAGCGCCATGCCAAATGCAAGAAGTGCAAGAAGCGCATCCTGATATGCCAGGCAGGCGTACATGCGACAGGCGCGGGATGGAAAATATGCCACCTGCCGTGTTCCTGCGGAGAAGGATATTATCCAAGCAACGCCAAAGCGGCTCGCCTATTGCAGCCCACTGAGTATGCCGAGACACATCCTGACTACGAGTTTCCAAGCTATGCGGACGACTACAATACGAGCCACGAACCTATCGCAGAACCCGTTTATAGCGCTGTAAGCACCTATACCGAACCTGTGTATGTGGACGTGTTCGAAAGCGACGATACCCTCTGGTTCTACGGATGCGACAACGAAGTGATGTGGACCCAGCGTGACGATTGGCGGTCAACGACCAAATGGTACGAAGGAGCAAACCGCCCCTGTTTCCAGTTTGACAACAATTCTACCGGTCTGTCGTATTTCACGTGGAATTTGGGTCCGGGAGACGCCGCGGCAGCTACACAGTCAGCTTCAGTCAATGGATCTAAGCGTGGCAAGACTGGAGCTCGCGGCGGCTCGTCCAGGCGGGGTCACACGCAATCGCACGGACGGACTCTATCCGAAGAGTCTATTGATCCTCTCCAGTGGGACCAGGCGACATTCGAAGCGGAGACCTTGGCCTCACAAATGGCAAGTCTCAGTGTTATCGAAGGAAGCTCCTCGCAGACCACAGACAGACCGAATCAAGCCGCTGAATTTGTGGAGGTGTCAGCCCGACACAGCGGCAAGGGCATGGTGTCTTTCAGACCACACTCGGGGCCTCGAGAGGGCAAGAAGTTGACTTCGCGGAAGGAGAATTGGACCAAAAATCGCGGCGGGTACGTATTTGACAGTGAAGCAGCTGGCTGCGTTTTCTTTGCCAAGGAGATAAAGCCTGCGAAGAAATGAAATGGGGTGGTGGAAAGGACAGTTTTGTACTGCTACTCCCTTCAACAGCGAGTGGCGCTTGATGACTGAGCTGGGCATTGAACCACCCCACCCCGGCGCCCCCCTATTGATAGCCGAGATTACTCCGATTACTGTTTCCTCAGCGACCCGAAACGCCATGTCATCACACCCGTGATTGCCGTGACGCGTCTCAATTTCTCAATTTCTCCGCGGGTATTTAAGGTCAGGGCACGCCGCAGCGCGGGCACGACCCAACCCCTTCACAACTGGCCAAAGGTTTTGCCTGCCATGATATCGATCGACTCCGACTCAGTCTTGTCTGACTGCACGTCATCAACCACCGCGTCGTCCGAACGATCCTCACCTGCACTGCTGTGCAGTGACGAAGATGATCCGCTCATACCGTCTGCTGCGGACATCAAGCGAACGTATCACGTTGGAAAGGCGACATGGGCCTTCTTTCTACAAGAAGCGCTCAATATGCCTCAGGGTCTTTGGCCGACGAAATTATTGGACCCATACATCGCTCTGTCCCAAGTACCTGCACTTCCGTCCGAGCTGCCTCGCAGCAATGTCCTGCATGGAAGACCACGTTGGCATCTTCGACAGCGCGCTCGAGGTATAAAATATCCAGAGACGTCTGTATCCGGCAATGAGTGGGATCCTGCGCTTGTTTCCGGTCGTCGCGTTACCTTTTGCCTGGGCCACCAGGACTCGCTTCGCTGTGGTATCTCCCCACAGGCTGCAGCATGCTATTTGGGCACTTCATCAATGACAATGAACAGCATCGCTGTCTTGACATTGTGCTGGTCATACGTACTCTCCACCCGATTTCTCGAGCTGCAAGGTAAACTCGTGCAGTATTCCACCCATCGATTACGGCCACAGAGAGGAAGCAAACCGCACCAGCCAACGTTGTATCTCGACGGTGCATCGCCTGCGCTTGTAAGGTGGCTCTGTGCGATCTTATGTCCCGGTCTGGGTTGGAGCGCCCCAGGAAAGCTGCTGCCACCCTGGGCTGCTTCCATCGATGCGAATGTGGGAATTGCCGTCTCGGCGCCAGCATCAGCTGAAGGAACCTTGGCCGCACCAAACTCCTCGGAGGCGATTGAGCTTTTGCTTGAGCTTTGCCGGCTGTGCGGTCTCGGAACGGAGGCGGATCAAAATGATCAGGACTGGACAGCATTGCCGCCGTACAAAGCAGGATTCTTTGCAGCACTGATGCTCCCATTCTATAGGTTCACGGGTCTTCGCCCACAATTTCCGCCTCCTCATCTCAGCACGAAAGATGCCGCCGGGTTCGACGACAACATTGACCAGGCCGCTACTCGCCGGTTGGCGCAAGGTTTGCGTTACTTTATGACCCTCAGTCTGCATCCGCCATCACTGGGGTCAATCCTGTGGAGCATTTTCTGGCAGCCAGACATCGAATGCAACCTTGTGAGCCCATGGCTCGCTGCAATTATTGATACTTTGGACCCGACCATCCATGCCAAGCGGGCGGAAATTCTGGTGAAAACTTTTGCCTCGCGCCGACCGAAAGTTGCATTCTGGTGGCTGGCTCTTTGCCTACTTGGCGACGTCTCTGTCTTGGACTGGATTCGACGATATGCGCAAACTCAATCCGAACAATACGGCTACGGGTCTTTGTCGCCGCCCGACCCGATGGTATCAGCCTGGGTTGGCTCTAAGCAGTCTTTCCTGGACTTCGATAAGACGTCTTGTTACACTGGACCATCAGATCTAGTTACCCGCGCCGATCTCCTTCGATGCCGTTTTGATTGCAAGCTTCAGGATTCCGCTTCTACAACTCTCTCTTGGCGTCCATTCGGGCATACGAGCAAGCAGTGCATCGAACCAGATCTTTGGCCGAGCTTAGAAGCTGACTATGTCCGTGAATACTCTACATTCACCTGGTATCTCGGGAAACAGCGGCGGGCAACGAGCCTCGGGTATCAGCGCGAATCCGGGAGAGCTATTGAAGAAGTTCGTGACATGGTGGAGGTTCGCCTGCCTGGAGACAAATGCCAGGCGCCCTGTCGGCATGACATAAAGCTTGCCCCTTCGAAAGAAGCTACACTGAATATGCTGTCATTGCTCGTGGAAGACGCGTCCGGTACGCGACACTGGGCCAACGCTGCAGTTCTGCTTCAAAATTTGCATCCATGGATGCGTGATTGGGAGGGTCTCGACACCATGGAAATACCTGATCGCAGAGCTCCCGACGCCGACGATACTCCCAAACGTCCGTCGTGGTTCCTCCAAGAATGGATAGAAGGAATGCACGAAGGCAATGAATGACAAGACGCGGAAAAGGGACGACAGACTTCGACAGTGCCTTTTTTGTTCACCTACCCCATCGACGGATCTCCATGGCTGCAGGGACAACACCACCGGACATCGCATCGCAAATCTCCAGACTCGCGTGCTGCAACATGGACTTGTCCGACGCACATCATGCTGTGCTAAGAGCCGTTTTCAGTAGTCACGTGATCGAGTGTGGAACTTGGAACTCTGATCTGGAACTTTGCCACACGCGCCGGTTCTCAGAGATGTGTGCAGGATGCAGCAACGAGTCTTGTCCACCAGGATAGCAGAAACTCATCGGGCAAAAGTGGTCACGCGAGACGGTGGCAAGACTGCGCCAAACTTCTATGGGTAGGTAGCCTTTTGGTATCTGGAGACTGCGGATCGTGGTATAAAGTCTGCTTTCCCTAGATAGGTATGAATCGTCAGTAAGGCCTCGGATAAATGCCATACATTGAAAGACGTGGTGAGCTACAAGCTCACAAACTCACACCGCGGTGCCTGCATGCAGGAGAATACGAACCGTGAATGTTTGTGTAAGATGCTGTCATGCCTGGCCACTCGCGTACTGTTCAAGCTTGCTTCTTCGCAGGGTGAGGGTGAGGTAAGTACAGTGCAGATGAGTTGAGGGGACAGACTGGACACAGACGATTTGGGGAGTCGGCCCTAGACCCTTCCGTGGCCGTTTCTACCAATCCTCATGTGAGGCAATTTCGGCTCCTGGACACCCTGCTCCAAGCTTCAACGATTAAATGGGGACGTCCAACTTGCGAATTGGCCCTCTCCCGCCGACTGCAGGACCTCCCCCAGAATGAGCCATTGTTGGCGCTCAGACGAGGCTGTCAGCGTTGCAGGCAAGCGTGGACAGGGGTGGCAAGTAGGGTGGTGTGGAGAATCGCGGGGTGAAGGGTGATGGTGTGAAGCAAAGAAGCTGGTGGTGCGCTGAATGGCAGGGGACACGGATCCTTGTCTGCACCCATGTGCCCACCCTGGTCTTACCCCTTGTCCTGGGCAATTGCCGTTCGGCGATCCAGAAACGGCTGCCATCCTTCTTTGCCTCCTGCCGCATTCCTCTGCCCTCATTCGCATCCCGCTCCGGGGCGGAAGGGGAAGCCAGGATGAGGCCGCCCTGCGATTACTGCAACCTGACTTGGGAGACCGAATTCACGTTGACGCTGCGTCAGAATAGAGGACTGTATTCACGCGGTGGGACCTTCAACGCTTGGTCCCGCCGCACCTGGCGCTTGCACCGATCGACGCCGTCTCAATGATGAACATATGGGTTGCCGTGTAAACCGGTAAATGCAGCTCTTGCCGCGCAGCTAGGGAGACGATAGGGTTGGACAGGTTGTACTTGATGGCAGATCGATCTAGTTGGCACTACCAGAGAGGCACTTTGAGAGGTGCTGCCACTGTTACGCCTATGTGCGCATCGAAGAGCGTATGCTCTGTGCAGTTGACGTTTTGGCCCGTACAAGCCCACATTCCCTGTGACCTCCGGCTGTTTCGCCAGAACCTGGACGCGGGGATCGCTCATCACGAAGCTGCGATACGGACATGAGCTGGAAAGGCCGACGAGCAGCGGGGCAACCTTGCACCACGCGTCTTGCGAGCTTCACATCACAAGTCCTGCAAGCTGTACACCACCCATCCTACAAGCCGACTTGCTTCACACCACACAACGGGCGAGATTCACACCCCACGTCCTGGAAGCCGATTTTGCTTCACACCACGCGTCCTGGAAGCCAATTTGGCTTCACACCACTCGTCCTGCGAGATTCACACCATGCTTCCTGCAAGCCGATTTTGCTTCACACCACTCGCCATGCAAGCTTCACACCACTTGTCCTGCAAGGCTGCATGCTTCACACCACTCATCCTGCGAGCTTCACACCACACATCCTGGAAGCCGATTTGGCTTCACACCACTCGTCCTGCTAGCCTGCATGCTTCACACCACTCGTCCTGGGAGCCGATTTTGCTTCACACCAATTGTCCTGCAAGGCTTCATGCTTCACACCACATTTCCTGCGAGATTCACACCACACATCTGCAAGGCTTCATGCTTCACACCACATTTCCTGCGAGATTCNCTTCACACCACATTTCCTGCGAGATTCACACCACACATCTGCAAGGCTTCATGCTTCACACCACATTTCCTGCGAGATTCACACCACACATCTGCGAGCCTACATGCTTCACACCATACGTCCTGCGAGATTCACACCACACATCTGTGAGCCTACATGCTTCACACCACACGTCCTGCGAGCTTCACACCACACGTCCTGGAAGCCGGTTTTGCTTCACACCACACACCCTGCGAGCCTGCATGCTTCACACCACGAGTCTTGTGAGCCTGCATGCTCACACCACGAGTCCTGCGAGCCTACATGTTACACCATACATACTGTACTTCTTCAATGGTTGAGCTTGCTGCAGTGTGTGAAGGAGCCAAAACGTCCTCATATGGGATTGGGGGAGAAACGGTCGCGGAAGGGTCTAGGACCGACACCCCAGACCCTCTGTGTCCGGTCTGTTCCCTCTCATCGCAGGACCTACACCGCGCTCTACTCTACGCTTCCACGCCGACGCCTATGCTATGGTGCATCGTTGCCCCCATGAAAAGAGTATGTTGATGCGTTGTGTCGGACGAGGAGCGCGAATCGGAATCCGAAGATGACGGCGGCAAATCTCAAAGTCATTTTGCGCTGACCCGCAAGGCAATATCTTGGCTCAGCAGATTCGGGGACATCCAATTGCAAGATTTCAGGTAGCTGTGCAATTGATCCCAACCCGATTTACGTTATTCTGACAAATGGAGTGTAGTTAGAGCCTACGGACATGTATCTTAGCCGCGATTCTCAGCACCGCTGGGATGGTTCCGCTCAAACAGCCTCGAATCCGATCGTTGAGTTTGACGACAGACTACTGTATACATGCATTCTATGTCTCCACGGAACATGCAGCATAGACCTGTCATCCTTCTGGCAACTGCGGAGACTGGCTTGGAAGGTCGCAAGCCCCCTGCATCTTGATGCTCTGTTTGTCGCCGATCCGGACCAATTGAGCATGGTTGCAGACACTGGAATGGGACTTCGTGAACTGGGAAGAGATGTGGGATCTTGCAGGTAGCGCTGGCGCCAGTGACCATGAAAGTATCGCTGCGCAAAGTTTCTTGTGCGAGGACGGCAGAGGGCGGACCGTCGATCATTGCGCTTTGTTTACCGGATATTCCGACGCCAATGTCGTCTAGCCATCTTCTTCGTTATGCTACCGTTCAGTGACTTTTGAATACCCTATGTCTCGATTTACTGTGCAGTTTGCTTAGTGACTCCAATGTATATGTTGAGATGTCCATTGTCGTCATTCGAAACCTGCGGCGCAGGGCTGCTGCCACTAGGCGTGACTGTTAGATGGGAGTTCTGCGGCAGGTAGAAACTAATGATTCTCGTTATCTCACAGTTTGTTTCCTATCGCTAGATGTCTACGCAAAGTAGAAACACTGCTGCCGCTGCTGGAGCGCTCGAACGTAGTCCAAAGTATGGTGCAATATCTAACTATGCTTCCTCCGCCTTCGCTTGTTTTTCGTTTCGCGCTTGACGCGGACTTCCGGGTCCATTGCCTTCTCTGGCACCCACCAGGACCTATCTTCGTCTGCTCCGTCGAAATTCAAGAACAGTATCTTGTACCACAGTGCTTTGCCCCTGACCTGCGTTTGTAGTATCTCAATCCCGTCCCGGAAACCCCGATAAGTTCTTTTGAGTTCAGCAATGCTCTGGTCAGGAACGTTCATTTCGGGTTCCCAACTTGTACTCCCCCCCACCCACTTGACCAGAAATAGCTCCGATCTCTGAGACTTCCACATTGCAAGCAAGCATTCGATGGGGTACTCGGGCTCTGAGCTTTGTAGATCATCCGCATCGAAGTAGGATCGAGAACTTTGACTGGGGGGTGCATCGCTGTCCAAGTCGGACGCATCAACAGCACTACCAGCTTGAGCTTGGGTGGACCCGGAACTCAGAATATCTGGATCGACGCACTCTTGCAGGTCTGCGCCTGAGATCGTAGGAGTTGTACGATCCGCCGCGGAGGCGGGGGATGCTAACGTAGCAAAATCCAGGAGGTCGGCATCAGCTTCAGCAAGAGGTTCGAAGTACTCAAAGCCGCATTCCGTGTAGCCATTGCCTGATACAGAGCATAGCAACGTGGCAGGATCGTTGCTATCAACCTGTAGTGGTTGGCCGCGTGGCAAGGAAATGATGTTGTCGCTTGGTGCTGTGCCGACACCATAGGGGTTCCCTAACACTGAGCTCCGCTGTGGTAGAACGGTGATTCTTCTCTTTGCTGCAGTGACCTCAGGCTCCGGTGGCGTCTTTCGCTTACCCAAAGGAGAGGTCTTTGGTTTGGGAACGCTATGCACGTCTTCAAGATGATGCCATAGATCATCCGATGAATTGAAGACGGCTGGGCATAAGGTATGAGGGCATGCAAAATTGCTCGGGTCTTGACCCATGATATATGCCGGGAGGCAATCAGACAGGTGACGCTTCCATGAAGACTTGTCGACATACTGTGTCATTCGCTGGTGGGCCGGCAAGTCTTGTCGCCCCAAGTGAACCGGGCAATATCCAGCACAGGCGACAGCGTGACGGAACACTATCGGGTCACATCGAAATGGGATATCACCACTGTCAATGTGAGATTGACAGTGGTGTTTCCACTCTCCTTGACCCGCCACCCACTTGCTGCAATGAAAACAAAATTTCGCAAAGCTGGAGGTGGCTTTGTAATACGATTCGTGACAGTCGTAAGCATGCTGCCACCTCTCTGCTGGGGGAATGCTGGCGTATGATGTTAACAGAAGCAAATTTTCTCTCCTTATACCAACGAACATACCTCGCCATAGGTTTACGACATGGTGGGACTGCGCAGTAACCTTGAATAGGCCGCATAACTTCCTGATACGCGGCGTTGTCGTTGTTTTCACGCAGAGCGATGAGGTCTTTCAACACACTGACCCACTCCGAGCTCCTTGGCCATGCCCGCGATGTCATGCTTTTTGCGAGGCGCAGGCGTTCGGGAGGAAGCATGTGTGAAATGCGATCGAAGTGTATTTGGCGCCAATCATGTTGTTCATGCGGATCGTCGCCCCGATCGTAAATGATCTTCTGGGCGGCCTGGATTTCTCTGAGCCGCTTGTTTTCGATCGCCTTCCGTCGATCATATTCAAGGCGTCGTTGATATTTCAACTGCTGCTTCTCATCTTCAGTCGTGGCTTCGCGGATTCGTGTGCTGAGCTCATTTATTCCTCTAGTCACTGCTTTGTACTCCAGACTGCCTTCCAGCTCTTCCTTGTCCTTGGCGGATAGTGACAAGTAAAGACCTGGGTTCCACCGCATGGTTGCAGATCGGAAGTCTTCTACCAGGTCTGTCCGCGGCCGCATGTTGAGATATGTACCTGCTCCGTCGATGGTTGACATATTGCCGAGATAATGGTTGACAAGCACATGCGTGTTGTGCTGAGAAGCAAAGCGAAGAACCTGGCCAAGGGAATAGCCTCTGTCTGTACGGCATTACATAGACGGTTAGATTTTGGCTGTACGACAGGTCCAGGGCCGTACCGTTGCATTTTATGAGAGCCTCACGACGAGGAGCATGAAGACCCGTGCCGTTTGTGAGGCCCGCTCGCTTTGCCCATTTTGACACTTCGTCACTCCACGAATCTGGACTTCGTGTCTTGTCGGTTGGACCGTTCCGTGTCCACTCGGGGAAAACAGGTCTATCAATCATGTGACGATCCCATTCTATGATGCGGAAATTTCCCCTTTTGGGAGGTTTAAGAGAAAGCGCTTGCTCAACAGTGGTGAGCTCCGAAGATGCCCTCGCCGATATGACATTGGCCAACCAATGCAAAAGCGGTTGAGCAAATAGAGGTGGCGGTAGCCCATCTGGAGCTTTCATCTGCTCGGCGAACGTATGTTCAGGCCCGCCCGTATTTTAGTTTCTGAGATATGCAGACGAAAGAAGCCGACTTACTGCATGGTGACAGTCCCTTTGCAAATTTCTCTAGTGAACTTCAAACGGAATTCTGGCACCCCATCCGTCCAGGAGATCAAGCATTCTAGGTCCTACTCGTCTTAGCGCAGGGCCAAAAGCCATACCAACCCCAAACACGCACCTGATAACGGGCCTGGCAAACTTCTTGGAGTCTCGCCGAGGTGAAGCAGTGCGTATTGAGTAGGTTTGCATTGTCTAGTCGGTACGCCTCATGGATGTAATGATGGTAGTCATTGCACCAAAGACGTTCTTGCATGTGAACATAGTTCTCAATAGTCAAAAAAGTCTTTTTCTTGTGGGCTTTCTTCCCTGTAGGCAGCCCGAGCTTCTTTGCGAGCTCACCCTCAATGTACTACAGAAGTCAGCCGCAGGGAATTGACGCCGTAGATGAGGAACTTACGGGAGCCATCGACAGCCGCACATCAGGTGGGATTCGGGCATTATGGGCGCGCTGCCAGGCACTGCAGAACTGCCTCATCTCGTTGCGCACGCTTGTTGCAGTTGGTCTCCTCTTCCCAGTCTTGTCTAGCCTGCCTTTTGCCGCCAGAGCAATGCACTCGGCATACTGTTTCAACGTCTGGATATCCGTTGGCGTCGAGCCAGGGAACCTCCGCTCGAATCTGCCTGTGTCTTAGCCGACGTTGTGAATAGTCAACTCTACCGACTCACGCTTCCCATAACTCGAGTGCCCTCTCATATTCGCTGGCGGTATTTTTGCTGATATTCCTGTGGACGAAGTGCGGATCGAGTTCTGTTGTGTCCGTTGGGAGACCGCCTTGAATAGCAAGTGCTACCAACTGGTCGGCGTCACGGGCAGAGCCTCGTTGCCTACCTCCCATTGTAGCAAGCGGGCTAACAATTGATTAACTGGGAAACACTGTACATGCTAAATAGTGAGTGCATAGAGGCAGGAGTCAGGGATGGGTTCTAGTCACGAATGGAATGGGCATGCTGACTTGATTTATACCCTACTTGGGCCATCCAGTTGGCATGGGCTCATCCAATGAGATCGAGACTGGCCGCTTCCATTCTGGCCGCCGAAGCGATTGCCCGTTGTCTCGAAAATGCACAAAGCTTATACGCAATGCCGTCATGTGATTTGACCCAGGCTCAACTCAGGGCAAGCTCAGGGCGGGCTCAGGGAGCGGCCTGCTTAGCGCCTGAGCTGGCCACCATTAAAGCAGCCACGAGTGCAGGGGTTTGGAAAGTCGAGATTCGGATCCCATAACAAGGCGCTGGTTCGATGAGCCCCCACTTGCCGTTGTGATCATGTCGCTTGGAAGCGGGAACTCGCCGAGCAGAGGCAAGAGCCCGCTATTTGCAACGGTGTAGTTGGCAAACTGTATTGCAGTGACCGTAAATTGCAGAGGTATCGTAAGAAAATTCTGCAATATGGTAATCAACGTGCCCTCGTCGTCTGAAAAGGTGCCACTATAGGTTCGATGTACCCAGGTTAAAGCGTATGTCAACGCGGCGATGCTCGTGTTTGCTGCAGACGTGGAGGGGCTGCCGGGCACCAAAAGTTTATTGATGATCTCTGAATACCCGGACGCGTTCAGGAGCATCGGCTGCGGATCCAATTGAAGCCTTGCATCAATAATTGAGAGATTGTGTCTGTTGTATGTTGTGGTAGTGCGTTGCTTGTACGCGGCAATCGTCGTTTTCCACTTCATGGGTGCTACTTTCCAAGTTGTGTTCGTGTCGCAGGTACCCGAGTCAAATATCTCTTGTGGGCAGCTTGCCCAGCCTGGATTGTTCAATAATGTCAAATCAACGAGCGTATGACAGACAGAGCGGCTAATATAAAGCATTCAGATCAACCCGATGCGGCAACGTACCTACTGCCATGCCTTGGCCTTCTTGTCGAACGCAGATTTTTATACCATCGTTGTTCAACTGGCCTCCAAAAATGCAGTCTCGCATTGGGTCGAAGGAGATATCGAACTCAGGAGCTGTGAACGTGGTAATGATTCCGGAAGCATTCTCAATTCGGATCGCGTCAACATTATCGAATTGTCCACCATGAAATATTGAGTAATTCAGGTACGGATTGACCTGGCGGACAGTTTCGAGGCCGCCGGGCCAGAGAAGTGCTCGACAATTCTTTTCGCATCCGTCAATTGAAGTCCCGGTTGCATACCTAGAGTTGCTCTGGAGGCTTGATGTCCATGTAGTGAAGTACTGGCAGAGATCGGCGACGGGCACTATGCGAAGAACCCTGTTGTCAAGAGGAACAAGGCCAGCGTACACAGGGATCCGAATATTTGCGGCAGCAAAATAGTATCCAAAGTTTGTCCGAACTGCCCACAATCGGACATGTCAATGGAAATGACCCTTCCTTTCTATGATGATGCACCTACATTTCAGCAAGGAACCGATTGCGAGGCCAAGGAAGGGCAGCCCTAGCCTAGCCTCAAATTTAGCTAACTGCAAACACGTCCTGGCCCGAAGAGGTAGACAAACCTGAAGAGACACCACAGGTTTGACAGGTGCGAAGCAATGGCAAACTTAGCTGTCGACATCCATTGAGACGAAGGCCCTATGCCGAACCACGTAAAAGCCGACGTGCCTCCCGCCGACGTGGCTAAGGCCAGCCGCAATGCTCCTAGCAGCTCTCTCAAGGATATGTCAATCAAGAGGGCCGACAGTTGAGAAAAAATAGAAACAAGCAGATTAGTTGTGGAGGCATCAAACGTTACAGAGCCGACATCCACGTTTCCTTGAATAAGAATAAAGTAAACAAAGAGGCAGTAGAGCACAGCAAACACCATGGAGATGACGAAGGCGTAGATGAGCCTTGTTACTGGCTGTGACCTGCGACACAACTCGGCAGCTGCCCCAGAACAACGGGCAGCCAGGCTCTGCATTGCATAGAGGATAAATGAATCGACAGATCTGATTGTGTTCTTCGGTCCAGGACTGGCAAAATCCACAAAGCGGCGCCTTGCGTTCTTGGAAATACGGTCGGAGTGGTTGTGGGGGATTCCGGCGAATGTTGACACCGGTTGAGCCGAATCAGGATTATGATCCTGCCACTTTAAAGCAGTAGTGTATCGCGTGTTAGAGATCTCTCAACTTCCAGTTCTGAATCTGAACGGGAGGAAGCCAATAGGGATGAGAAGCAGCGAGGATGTTGGCAATGAAAATGGCAGGACAACGCCAGCTGGCATTGTAATACGAGTAGTGGCATACGTGGAAATGCTTTCATAGTTCCGGGAAGCTGCACATTGGCTGCCGTGCTGACGACCTATGCGTCGTGGCGGAGTTCAGCTGCCAACCATAGACCGGCGCCACATGTAACACGGTGACCATTGTCAAATGTATCGGAACACTCCAATTGGCGGGCTTAGTGCTTACGGCACGAGATGTCTAAGACAACCTGCAGCCTCACAGTCTTTCTGGAGGGTGAAAAAGCAAAACACGACTAGACCTGCCACTCGCGCGTGGAAGGCTGTGCCCCTTGTTAGCCAGCCGATCAGCCGCGTCGTTTCTTTGCGCTCCATGCCGACGAAGTCCCCCAGCTATTATGGACTGGGCATATGAAACGCCATTGCACATGGACAAACACTTCCTGACACCTGACGGTGACGTACGCGGATGCATTGTCAGGCGCTCCGATGGTCTGACCCGTGACCTGTCGGGTTCAGGACGCATGTTATCATCTCGTTTGCCAGCTCTGAAGTCACCAACACCAGGTCGATGGTGCTTTCCTTGTCCAGACCCTGCCATGTTCTCGTACCCTCGGTAGCCAGCTACAAATGCCGTACTCATTGATTAAGTCTACGATGGGTTCGGCCACAGCTTGCCTCCTGGCTGAGACCGCGTCGCTAGTCCAACTAGCAAATTGTGGCTATTGAAGTACATGACTAGGTGTCGGGCCTAAATGACAGATGTAACACGGCGCCTGGGTGGCCCCTATAACGAAATGAGGGGCACGACAGAAGAGCCCGTGCTAACAGAGAGGCGGATCGCAATTTCTTAGCAGACCGCTCGTCGCTGCTTACCGACGGCGTATGATGCAGGTTCCTGTACTGCAGCAGACCCGGTGTTGCCTCAATCTTCACGTCCGTGTTCCGCCGCATCTGACTGACAAAGACTGAATATTGAGGTAGGTAGTGGACATCGGCTGTCCCATTGCTCTTTATCCCCTTGGGATACGTAGTAAAAGGATATTAGGCAGGAATAGGACACAGCAAGAGGCCGCCATAGTGACAAATTCAATACTCTGCCCTTGCGCGGCCCGAACATGCCCGTTGCGATCAGTTCTTTAGTTGGAGATGGTGTTCTGCGTAGGAGTGCCAGGCTATCATGTACTGTATGGCCGGGCTGAGAATTTTTCGAGTTCCGGCATTCTTGAAGCAAATCTTCAATTATGGAACCATACTTGGTGCGCATTTGGGCAGTCTCAATGCTTTCGCGAGGCATTCTGGGCTCGTGTTTCCTCTGCGTCGATGCCGCCGCAACAGCATCTGCGTGCTCCCGGTCAAGTGAAGGAACCAGCATGTACTGTAAGAAACGTGCTTAGTACTGTGCTCGTGCTCTTTCTTGCCGGTGGAGATGAATATTCGATCGCACTCGGTGCATCTATAATGCTCTGATTTGTGATGCCTTTTCATCCTGTCATGTTGGAGAGCCAACCCGCACCCGAGCTCGCACTCTACCTTCTCACGATAACGAGCCTGTCTCTTTGTCCACGTGCTCACTTTCTCACCGTTATGGCCTGTTGTGTTGCGGTGGTTCAGCCACGCCTCGCCAACGAAGATGGTTTCGCAGCAACGAACGTGTGCCTTCTTCCGATGACTTGCTAAATCCCTCTGCGTCTTGTAACAGTTTACTCCACGCCCCGTTTCCTCCTTCAAAGGCATCGGATAAGGGACAGCCCGGTTTGCAGGAAGTGGATCGGC